GCTGTAAGCTGCATATACTTGCTCTAGTACTGGAGTCATGCTACACAGTATACTTTGCCTCCCAGTGTTCAAAAATTTTCCTGACAGCTTTTATTTAGAAAAAAAAATGTATGCACCAACGATCCATTTCATCTGCTAACACAGTTTTAATGATTCGTTAACAGCATAAATGTCAATACAGGCATGCATCTTTGATAAGGACCACCGAGATATTTGATCATTTGCATTCTATGTCTGGTAGGGAGCCTAATTGGTCAAATTATATCTGTAATGAAAAATGTGGAAACGGGAAAAGAGAGAAAACAACACACACACACACACACACACACACACACACACACACACACACACACACACAAACAGGACAAATCAGTCGAATAAATAAGGGATGTGTAGGTGTACTCCGATGTCTTCCCATTGCTGTGTCATCTCTGTAGTGAAAATGCTCGGCTCACAGTTTGTGAGGTGCGCGCTCTAAATGTGGATTGTGAAACAGTGGGAGTGCAAGCGTGCAGCTTGTAAGACAACGTTGTGAGTCGGTGCGCAATTCTGAGAAAGTCCATTTGCGCGGCTGCTGGCCTGCAGCCGCACAGCGCCCGTGCTCACTTTGGCGCCGAACGACGACAGGCAAACTTTTGACAGCAACACAAACGCCAAAACTCCAGGACGTGTTTCAGAAGTCGAGAGCGCAAAGCAAAAGTGGCACTACGCAACGAGTGATGCGGCAAGCCCCTCTGCGGCCTCAGGGTCTGGGGCATGCGAATCAGTTACAGATCCATTCAGCAGTTCCCTCTCCTCTGATTTACATCGCCTTCATTAAATGGCTGATTCCTCCCTTTTTTCTTTTTTTTTTTCTTTACCTCTAATGAAGGTTACTCTGCCGCACACACGTGCATGCGTGCTAAGTGCATAAAAATGCACACTCGCCCTCGTTATCGTGTGCCACTGCAGCGCCCCCTACCCAGCTGCTGTCACGTGAGTGCCCAGGCCCTAGCAACAGCGAGCGAAAGAACAAAAAAAGAGAGAGATCCTGGCGAGAGAACGAGAGAGAGGGAGAATGGGTAAAGAGAAAGAGATGGGAGGGAAGTGGGGGGAGCTGGAGGGGAGAAAAGAGGGGAGAGCTGTGGAGCATTAATAAGTGATGAGTCCAACAGTGTGAATTGCTGTTAGTTAGCATAGCTGCAGCGCCGCTCTCATTTGCATGGCAGCACCAAGAACAATCCCCCGGTTACTTACGCCATTTCCTTTTCAGCTCAGTTTGCCACCGAATGACTGTTTCCTGCGTGCATCTTCTGTTCTTGTCTTTTTCCATCTTCACCTTGCGCCCATCGTCTAGTTAGCGTTTTAAAATATGCACAGTTTTCTTATCTGGGGGTTTGTCCATTCTTTCTGGTGAATACGTTTCTTCAAAGGTTTTTCTTTTTCTTCTTCTCTCCTTCTATTCTGTTTTTATTTATCCGACTTAACAATAATTTGTTAGAAAAAAAAATGGTAGCCCTCCACGGTGCACATTTAGCGGCACTTTTCTTAATCGACTCTCAATGTTTAGTAAGAGGGGTGTCCTCTCTCTGGAGAAACTTTGTGGGAGACAATTGACACTCCTAGGCCCCGTGATCCCTTTCTTCTCCATTCCTGTTTCTCTGTCTCGTTATTTCCATGTATGTCTGTGGATTTGCAGAAAATGTGCAAAGATCGAGCCGAGGCTTCTGCTCCTGGCTTGACTTCCTGCCTCAGGCAGATCAGCTGAACTGATTCCATTACTCACAGACCCCCACCCCCGTGAAAGACGGGGAAGAGGAGCACTGTAAATGTTGGGGTGGGGGGAAAAATGGTAGAGGGCAGAAGGAGGGCTGTAGGGGCGGCACGCAGAATAGAAAAGGGAACTAAAGGAACTGAAAATATTTTTGAAAGAATGAAAAATAAGGAGGGAGTGAAGTGATTGTGCAACTCCCATAGGTGTGAGATAGACTTCAAAATTCCCATCCTTCCTCCAAGAGCAAAATAAATAAAATAAAATAAACACAAAAACACATGCAGGAACACACACAAACACACACTCAACCACAGCAGCCTACTCCTGGAGGCGTAGGCAGACTAGACGAGAATTGATCTCTCCCACGAGGAGAGGTTTGCGAGCGGAGGGCGAGATGGAGAAAGACGTAGAATTGTTTTTAGCTGTGTACAGCTCTCAGGCCTGTAGGCCCCTCATCACTCTCACTCCCTCCTCTGTCACTCCCAGCGGCATGTTTCTCTTTATCTTCTCATCTCTCCCTCCATCAATCTCCATCTGCCATCCTCTTCCCTGTAGGCCCTCAGACCCTTCCTCTTCACTGCTGCCTCCCTTCATCCCTGCCTGCACCCTCTCCACTGTTTTAGGTGTGTCTCATCTCTGTAGACAGCAGGAGGATAGGCAGTGACTAGAAATTAAATACAAGCTTTGCCAAAAAGATAACAAAAAAGAAAAGACAGAATGAGGGAGGGCCAGAAAACCAAAAGAGCTCAAATGGGAGCAGACATGGGGCAAGAAATTATGGAAATCTATGAATCAACGTTCATTTCTATAAACGATGACATGTCTTGTTTGTCCTGTTGCAACAACTCTTCAACTCCAAGTGTTAAATCTGTCTCAAGTGTTTAAACAGATTTGCACCTTCACCATTCAGCGATTGTCTACAGAGATTGCAGGGTAACAGCAGACATACCAGAACGGCTTTAAATTGAAATTGTAAGGTTCCCTTTTGTAGAACCACTTTAGCACAAAGTGCTCTGTCTGTGAGAGGATCTGCAGTTCGGAACTCACTTCCTGTCAATTTAAAGTCTGCAATCAGTTAACAAAACTCTAGTTGTGTCCAAAACAGAACTGTATTAATGTTTTATGTCTCATAATCATGTATATGATTGTGGAGATGTTGTCAATATTATGTTATATTTATCTGTATAGCATATTTTAAGAACCAGGCAATCCAATTTCAAAAACAAATAGACAATTACAAAGAGAACATTGCAGAAGAATAAGTGAAAGTCGTCAAAAGTTTAATCAAATGTGTTAGGTACTCGGTGTTTCAACAGTTCTGTAGTTTTCTGAAAGTTTGTTCCAGATCAGAGGAGCATTAAAAACGTAATGTTGCTTCTCCATATTTGGTTCTAATTCTGGGCAAAGATCGAAAGATAAAACCAGAGAAGTGTAGAACATTATGACAACAGGTCTTTCATTTCTGCAGAACAATAATAGAAATCTCTTATTTAAGTGTGGACCCATTTTTTAAAAAATCAACCAAAATTGTATGTCATGATCAAACCCCAAGCAAATTAGGGTTTGATCACAAAATGATAATTCAATAAACTAATCAAAGTAAAACTTTTGTGACCTTTGTTGCGGGCAGTCTTGAATCGACTGGCGTAAATGTGTAATAGCTTAACTCTATAGCACACTAACCTACAATGTTGAGGATACCAGATTCCTGATGGTGATTTTTTTTTTCTTTTTTTTACTTGTTTTGGTTTTGTATTGATAAAAGCATTGAGAGGAGAATAAAACTGATGGGTAAGTGGTGGAGTGAGTTGCCTTCACATTGTCTCTTGACAAGCCTTTTTTCATTTATATCCTCTATGCTGCTTTACTTTGTCCTCATTTGTAATAGTCTCTGAATTTCTCATTCCCCTCCTACCCGATCACCCCCTCCGTGCTCCGTCTTTCTTTCTTCAGGCATGTTGTGACAAGGGTGTAGCAATGTGTTACACAGGGCTCCGCTCACCAAGTGCATATTATCCTGTAAGGCATAATACCCAGGTTGGAACAAAAGGGCAGGTTTTGAAATTACAGCTTACGTTGCTTAGCACTCAGCACAACAGTCTGACTCACATGAAAACACGTGTGTGAACTTTATGATTGTAAATGCTCTGGCTGACAGTCATGAGAGCCATTAAGGAAAAAAAAACTGTTAACAAACTCACAGATGCATGCAAAGAATCTTTCACAACTACTCTAATGTCTGTTAGCGTGTTTTATCATTCCCCAACTTTTACAGCTGGTTTTTCCATCAAATTGGACAGGTCAGGCAGAAATACAGTCAGAAAAATGAAAGGAAGCCAATATAAAGTCCTAAAACGGGTAGAAATAATAACTCGCATGTGTGCTTGTGTGGTATTTAAAACAATTTAGTTTGATTTCCTTTGTCAGAAACTACAGAAGACACAATGGGAATCCTCAACAACCCTTGTTCCACACCGAAGGTAGCTAATGACACTAAGCTTAGAGTCTGATTCAAAACTTTTTATTCCGTGCCAAACTGGAGAGTTACAGGCTTTTAAGGAGTCTAGGCAGCAATTGATCATCTTTAGCTGAAAGTTTAAATTATAAAATTCAACAGAATAACTTCATCTGGAATTCTGATTCTTTAAGAAAACTTTAATGTCAAAAAACAAAGCAAGCCTTTTGAATACTTCTTTGGCATAAAACAGCCACCTCCTACTGCAGGGGTCTTTAAATCTAGGCTTTGAAACCCAATGTCTTGCAACTTTTCGATGTGTTTCTGCTTCAACACACCTAGGTTATATACTGATGTTGTTGGCAGGTCTCTGGAGAACCTGACTGTATACTGAGGAGGCTGGATCGGGGACACATCTAAAAGTTGCAGAACACTGACCCTTGAGGCATGAATATCAGGACTCCTGTTCAAGTATACTGAGAAGAGTGTAAAAAGTCCTATGACGTACCTCGACATAATTTTTCTTCAATTACAGATGCCTTTCAACATATTTTTTGTGAAATCTGTATGTGAACAAATCTTAACTTTCTATCCCTCTAGATCAGTTACCCTAAATATTTCTTTAGCTTTTACATGTTTTTATAATTAACACAGAAGGTATATTTTGCAGAATGGGTTTCATCACTGAAGTGGCTTATATGGCAAAGGAGTGACATAGGGCACACTGCATGCAGAAATGACCTTTGACAGTATGCCAAAATGACCAGCCTGTACTTCTCCACTCTTTTACAGGTAATCGTTTCTTCCTGACCTCATTTGGCGCTTTATATATCTCAGAAGTGCAGAAGGAAGATGCTTTGTCCACCTACCGCTGCATCACAAAGCACAAGTACAGTGGAGAGACCCGCCAGAGTAATGGAGCCAGGCTCTCTGTAAAGGGTAGGCAAAGAAACTTGTTTTCTTTTTCATTTGTTACTAATGTGTCATGCATTGACTTTTGGTCTCTGAGAAGATTTTGATGAGTGTATTAATCTGAATCAAAATCACATTTCTGTGATCACTTTTAGACCCTAAGGAATCCCCCCCATCTGTGCTGGATAGTTTCCAGTCTGGTGAGATGCAGGTTGGACACAGCGTGGAGTTGTCCTGCATTGCCTCCGGATATCCAAATCCCACCATCCGATGGTTGAAGGATGGTCGACCACTGCCAGCTGACTCTCGCTGGACACGCCGGATCACTGGCCTCACTATCTCCGACTTAAGACTTGAGGACAGTGGCAACTACATCTGTGAAGTCACAAACAGCTTTGGCTCCAAAGAGGTGACAGGTCATCTCAATGTTATAGGTAGGTAGTGAGGGTAGATATGTCTTTATTAAGACATTTTGACTTTAGTGTCATTCTAAGGCTTGGGTAAAACTATATAAGCTTAAAGCTCGTAAAGTCAGACTTATTATTTTGGGACTCTTTATGTTTTATTGAGGATGAAAGCAAGCCAGTCAGCAAGTCCCACACCCCAACTGCTTAAAATTCACGTCTTAGAGTGACCATATCACAGTGCAAACGTCAAACCTTAAGTGACAGATCATATATGGTAGGACGTTCACAGACTTGGAGTCACAGATACATGCACTCATTCTGTGAAAAAAAACATCTTACCCATGCAGATGCAGTGACACACAGACACACATGCTCTCACACACATTCAGCAGCTCCCAGCTCATCACAGCAGCTGCTTTATTGCTCACTGACATTTTTTTTCCTCTTTGTCTTCCTGTCTCGATTTTTCCTCGCTGCTCAGCACACAATCTCAATCACACACACACACGCATGCAGACAGACACAGGAACTGAAACATAGACAAGAAATACACACCAAAATATGATTTGTGTTGCTTAGCCAGCACAGTGTAGCTCATAAGAAAATTTCCATCCTGTGCCTGGGATGCTGACATATACCAACTTTTGTTCCTTCAATATGTAGGTACTTACTTGCCTCCATCTACACTATTGTCATCTATTTTTTTTCCTCATCTCTAGAACCACTGCGGGTCACTTTGTCTCCAAAGAACCTCAAGACGGGGATCAGCAGTACAGTAATCCTCTCCTGTGCCGTCCAGGGTTCCCCCCACTTTACTGTTTCCTGGTACCGTAACACAGAGCCTGTAATGCCTGATCAGCACTTTTCCATCCAAGGAACACACAATGAGACACTCTTCATTTCTGCTGCACAAAAAAGACATTCTGGAGCTTACCAGTGCTTTGCCTCACGAAAGGGCCAGACTGCCCAGGACTTCTCCATCATACTGCTGGAAGGTAAAAAAAAAAACAAAAAACAGGTGTAATATTAACTATTCTCTGTCTGTTCTGTAATCTTACTCGCATTAATGCCAGAATAGGGGTTTGTCTTTAGTCTGAATGATACAGTAGTTCAGCAGTATTTTAACATATTTAGACAAATAAAAAATGTTGGTGAACAGATTGTTAGGCTTTTGCTTTATAAGTGAATATGTAATGCAGTTGATTGCTACTATGTTCATTTATTGATTGATAAGATATTGAAAAATTTAACAGTATTTATTTATTTATTTATTTATTTATTTATTTATTGTCTATGTAGAGGGGAAAACCCATTTGTTTTTAATAAGCTCACTGTTGGTACAATTGTCCTTATCATTATGTTAATATTTTGTATTTTACTTTTATTTTATTGTAGATTTATAGAGGTGCTGTTTTATATGCCGAAACACTACTGAGAGTAGAAGAAGAAGAAAGAATATAAAAAAAAAAACAACAACAAAAAAAAACTAAGAGTTCATAATCTTACCCAATGTTTTCTTTAACCACTTTGTGTTTGGCCTTAAAATCTTACTGGGAGTTTTACTTTCTGTGCCAGTGCACACAGCTCACACAACCACAAAAATATGGACTGCACATGGCTTTCCACAGAGAGACCTAGAAGACCTTAGCTGGTGGGTAAATGTCACAAAATATACAGCACGAAGCACTTTCTACTAATTGCTTGATGGTTCAGGCAAAGTGTTTTACGAGGGTTTAGACGAAATGTGAGCTGTTGGGTGATTTCCTATGTCTTATGATTATGCCTTATATTTTTTATTCTTAGATGGTACGCCCCGTATTGTCGCCTCCTTCAGCGAACGAGTGGTGGTCCCTGGTGAGCCGTTTTCCCTGATGTGTGCTGCCAAAGGGGCCCCTCCGCCTACCATCACCTGGACCCTGGATGATGAGCCCGTGGCTCGGGATCTGTCACGTGTGAGATCCAGCCAGTACACGCTCTCCGATGGGAGCACCGTTAGCTTCGTCAACGTCAGCAGCCCGCAGATTCGTGATGGAGGAGTGTATCGGTGCGCCGCACGAAACTCGGCTGGTAGTGCTGAGTACCAAGCGCGCATAAACGTAAGAGGTGCCTGTCTACTTTTCAATATCAGTCATACAGAGGCTTCCCATAGCCTGACCCCTTTCTCCCCCTACCCTGACCAATAACCTTTACTGTACCCTCCTATTGCTCTATTTCTGGCTCTGTATGTCTGTCTTTTCTCCTCTATATAGTTTTAGTTTTCACACCTTTTTATTTTTGTTTACCATCTTTCTAAAATTTGATTTCTTGTTTCTTCTGGAAATTATATTTGTCTTTTTTCTTTGTCTTTTTTTTTTTTTGCCCTTTTATGGAATCAAAACCTCTGAGCATATATATGGTACCGCAGTGTTGATTCATACACTATTCAAACTAAGATACCTCCACAACCAATCTGTTTTAACAACCATTTTAAATCACCATATAAGCACTATTTAGTCCAACATCTGAAAATGGAGAGAGTGACAGAATTGCAAATCTTTTTAGTGGAGTTTGGATCAAAATTGAGACCGGGTCGGGTTAAAATTTTATGGTTGGTTGATGGTCAAGCTCAGGCTTCGTTGGTGCATTTTTAATAAGCATACAACATAGAGAAAACTAAACAAGAATGCACAACATAAAGACCTGTTAATATACTTATAATAGTATAAATAGAGGAGAAAGTAGGTTACCCTGGTGAGGAAACAAAGAAAATAAGGTGCAGAAGTTTATTAGCCTGTATGTGCGCACATGGCTCCATCGTGCTGGGCCCCTATCAGATATCCCAGAAGATTTGCACTTGGTTCATCCTGAATTTACAACAAGTGAGAAAATTGAGCTGGAATATACAACACAAAAGCTGAAAACCAAAGGAAGTGACACTTACAAGCCAACAGAGAGCAAAGTCAGAGATCTGGATGAAATTTAAAATAATATAATAATAATAATATTTTTGGGTTCAGGCCTCTAATTAGAGTTAACTATTTGGGTTGGGTCAGGCTTGGACACAGTGTGTATAGGCTCAGACCAGGTCAGGCTGAATTTTTAGGCCTGATTTAAACACTACATTTCAGACACAAATGGACAATGTGCACCGCTAAGCTATGGAAGGACAGCACTGATCAGAGAAGCAGCCAGGAGGACAATGATAATCCTGGTGGAACTACAGATATTTACAGCTCCGGCAAGAGAATGCATTGACATTAAATCATCTAATTATGAACTTCACAAATTTGTGGAAATTTGTTGTGTGAAAATATGATAAAGTTCCAAAGGAGTAACAATTTTAGCTCTGGTAAAAAATATTTCTACAATGTACTCTCGCTCATTTTACTTAAGATTTATGCCCTACAGATGGTCTCAATAAAGTGCATTACACTGTGTGTGGGTAACATGAGAAATAAGTTACATACACACTATGCACATGTACACATACTACACATATATATGCAGACTGTACATTAGCTGTACATCTAGTCATAGCAATTTAAGAAGCCTTTATCAAAAACTCACCCATGAAACCTAAGATGAGAAGGAAACAAATGATAAAGTACTCGAGGAAGATTGGGTGAAACAAGAGAACAACTAAAAGAAGAGGACAGCTTCTTATAAGTGGAGCAGCTGATTGTAAACTCTGGTGACAGAAGGGGTGAAGCTACTGTTGTCTGGGATGACATTGATAAAGAGTGACACCATTGAACAAAGCTGTATCACCCTCTTGGTCTCTTCTCTTGGTCCTTTTCGTGTATAGTTGTGACATGCAAGTCTGCTCTAAGCAAACATGCCAGAAAGATTATTGAAGTGAGAATGAGCTCCAGTGCCAGAGAATTTTAGCCATCCATGCTACACAAAGTGTCAGAAATGGCACGGCCACACATACATTGACACGCATACTTACGACAAGAGTTCACAAAGCCCAATCATGCTAATCTGCTTTCCCACTCACTATGGTTTGCTTTATTCGAAGTATTCTATTCACTGAGCAATCAAGTTCACAGAAATGTACAGACGTAGCTGAACACATATTTATGTTAAGCCTGAGTGTGCGCGTTTGCAAGGGCACGCGTGCGTATATGTGACGGAGATCCTGAATAATACATCTTTGACTCGTCAGAGTTGTGACTTCAAAGCTCAGAACATGCTGAGAGAAGGAGGAAGGGGAGAGGGAAAAAAAGAGACCAAAAGATGGCAGGGGTATAGGAGAGGGTGTCAGAAGAAGCAAAAACAAAATGAACAATGGTGAGAAGGTCAAAGACAAAGTGACGTATGACTGAGAGATGGCTCTCAATTGCTGCCAAAAATGCTTAACGATTTCTGTCAAGTTACACACAGATGTTTTTTGAAAAAGCATTTTGCTTCGACATGGGTACCTTTTTTTAATACTGTAGATGGATGATTTTCCTTTGATGATGACTCCAGCAAATTTCACAGAATTCAGTCTTGTATATTTTTATATTGGTCATAGATAGACAACACAAAAGCACAGAAAACATACTTTGGTATTTGCAAGAAAAAGACAAAATGCATTAAAAACAGGGAGGCACAAAGAATTAATATTTGAGATGTTGAAAATTGCTTTGTCAGTTGCTGTGGAGGTGTTTTACCTTTCAGGACCAATCAGTCAGCATAAATTGCTACTCTTTGGCTTAGATATAGATACACCTCCTTCAAATAATCCAGAAAATTTAAATAAACTAGAAAAAAAATGAAACAAAACCATGTAAGTTTTCCTACATTCACTTTTTTTTTGTCTTTGTAGTTAATGCAGTCAGTTCAATTTTTTGTTTTTGTTGATAATGAGCTTCGAATAAAATCTCATCTCCTCTCCAGTATGAGAAAAATAAGAGCTTTATTTATAATCTTCTGATCTATGTAGATATAGAGGAACAGGCACATCTCATAACATTTTTATGTGATTTATTTTGAGCAGCCCTCATTCAAGTATTTAAGTAAAATGCCATTTCACCAGAAAACCATGAAATGTCTTAAACCTCTATCTCTTTCTCAACTTTTTTTTCTAAACATTTTTTTTCTGTCTTTTTTCCTTGCCCCTCTCTCCAACTCCCTTCCTTTTCCACCTCCCCTTTCGGCATAATTCCTAAAATTCCAAGACCTGCTATTGGCACCATAAACTAATAATCTTCTTTTTCCCCTCTTTCTTTTTCTTCCTCTGATTGTACCTCTCTTTCTTTCCCCACATATCTGTATTTATCTCTTTCCACAAATCAGGGCCTCCAAAGATTAGGCCTATGAAGAATATTACAGCGGTGGCAGGAAGAAACACTTTCATAAACTGCAGAGTAATTGGGTATCCTTATTACTCAATTAACTGGTACAAGGAGGGAATTCTGCTGCCTGACAACCATCGGCAGGTGAGGTCCACTTTAAACTCGTAAAACACAATGCACGCAAATAAGGGGATTTTTTTTTTAATGTTCTACCTACGCTCCAAAAACATACTCTTCACAATTACCCCTCTGTGTACTAATTACCGATGATGTATCAGTGCATGCTAACACATTCATGATGCTTCTCCAGGTGGTGTTTGAGAATGGGACACTTAAGCTCAGCGATGTTCAGAAAGGCATGGATGAGGGCGCCTATGTGTGCAGCGTGCTGATCCAGCCACAGCTATTCATCACACAAACCATTTATGTCACCGTCAAAGGTCAGTTACAGAGATGACACTGCTTAACATGATAACTGTTTCACAGGTTCTGACTTACTGAAGGAGGTGTGGAACGTCATCTAACACTACACCTGGACATTTCCTCAGCTGTACATGACATCTGCTCGAACAAGTGATCCAGTTGGAGTTCAGATAGACCATTTGAATGTGCAAAATCCAATGTGCTGCAACACATAAATACAATATTTTGTTATCTAGACACTCTTTCTGCTACATATAGGTAGGATTTTTTTTGTTAGCATGTTAATTTTTAATCAGATGTTGATTTGGTTGACTCTGACAGTCATGAGAAGTTAAATTCTCTGCTCAGTTTGACTATTGCAACCTTTTGTTGCATAAGTTGTTCAAAAACCTTTTTCACTTGGAGGGGTATGAATAATTCTGACTCTAGCTTTAGCGTCTATTTGTCCAATACTAGAGCTTGCACAGTACTTTGTGTCCCATGCATTTAATGTGACAAATCCCATCGTAAGTGCAAAGACAGTTTACCATTGCAATCTTACAGCATTTTATATGTACTTAAACATTATGTGAATGAGATATTTCACACCCCACGTCCTTCCAAGGAGTAGCGCTCCACTCTATCCCTTCCGGTTATTTTTGTGGTCCAACAGCAGCAATACGGTTATCCACCGGAAGAAAAACTTTTTATTCCAAAGAGAAAGATGTCAACAAAAACCCAGCATGTTTAAGCCAGAATCCTGCCCAGAGCAGGAGGATAAATATATTTAGATCACTGTGAGGAAAATAAATGGCAGATTCACAAAACTGTTGTTCTTCAATCTTGTTCACTTTATAGACGTTCAACAATCTAATTTCTGCCTGCTGAAACCTTTTATTCACCTTTTATGTTATGGTGCATTTTTGTCTGTGGCTCTGAGACAACTTGTAATCAGTTCTTTGCTTGTCTTCAACCCAGTCTCAGGTTAAGCTATTTTTGAATATGTTAATCAGTGCTGCTCCAGGATGCTTGAAGCTCTTTCTACTTCATAATGTTGTATCAAGGATTTGTCGATCAGGTTGGTTGTTAGGATTATCATTCATAGCGGTGACAAAGAACAAATCAGTGAAGAGGAATTATGATCCTTTTTAATCTACTTTGGTTTCGTGCCATAAACAGAGTGATTATTGGAATGGTTAGAAGCAGGACTGTTTTAGTGAAACAGAATGAGAAGAAAAAACAAAGCTGTGTGCATCCCCTCTAATGACCCCTGATTAGGGGGCAGAGAGGCCAAGTGCAAGCTCTCAGCCACTCAGCAATCAAAGTGAGCAGGAGGGCTATTGTATAAGTTTTGGGAGTGTGTGTGCTCCTCACTCATTGCACGCGTTCGTATACATGAAAAGTATGTGTTGTGGATATTTTTTCTTCCTAATGTTACGTGCTGTCCTTAGCTGCAACAGAACAACATGTTTGTTCCAGGAAGTTGTGAAGTGTGAGTGTGGGTTGCGTTCGTTCTCTCGACGTGTCAGATTTTTGTTGCTTCCTTGTTTTGCACGCTGCAGTGTTTAAGTTTAAGAGCAGGCTACCACTTACGTGTGTGTGCATATGCACATTCTTCTTGCTGTTTGTTGATGTAGGTATCTGTTTATTTGAATTTGTGCCCATCATGCCTCTGATTTAATTAGATGAATGTTAATGAGGCCCAGATAAAATCTCCCAGATGTCTCTGCTGAAACACCAAGACCCCCACCCTCGAAGCCCCCATCGTCATCCCCCTCTTCAAATCATCAGCGTCACCTCAGCTGGTATCCATGCCAACACAGTTTTTCTCCCCTATGGATGGTGCTCTAATTAGAGCAGCTATTATGGGTTGGCTTGAGCAGGGCAGGGTGGGTTGGAGTGGAGGAGTTGGTGAGGGCCACTGTAGAGGGTGTAGTGGGTTAGTTGCCCAAGTTTTGCCCATGGAAGTTTTAATCTTTAAGATGTCATTGTGAGAAGATGGACACAAGACATCATTTGTATTTGATTACTTTATTATTAACAGAGAAAGAGAGATATTTATTTTATTGTCAGATGAAAATAAGTCATTCTATGGGCTGATGTTTTTTTGAAAAAGCACTTTTTTCCCCTTATATTGCACCTTCTTCTCTTTTTCTTCAACTAAATCCTTCTTATCCCTTTACCTCGGTTTTTCTCGTTCATTTATTCTGTCTCTGACCCTTTTAGTCCCCCCGCTGATCCAGCCGTTTGACTTTCCCCCAACCTCCATCGGTAAATTGATGTACATCGCCTGTGTGGTGTCATCTGGAGACATGCCCATACGAATCACCTGGCGTAAGGACGGCCAGGAGATCGTGCCCTCCTCGGGGATCACCATCGACACAAAGGAGTTCATGAGTTCACTGCAGATTTCCAAAGTGTCGCTCAAACACAACGGCAACTACACCTGCATCGCTAGCAACGATGCTGCTACAGTCAGCACAGAGAGGCAGCTCATAGTTACAGGTAAGCAAAGAAGGCTGTAGGCACAAAGATATTCATTTTCATCGCGAATGAGTCGTTAATAAAACCATTTTTACGTTGTAAAGTCAGTTGTAACAACAAACATGTTGTAAAGTTAGTTGTAAAGAAGATTAATTGTAAGTCTTGTTTAAAATCAGTGTGAAACAAATGATATCCCCCTTTTATAAATTATGAAATAAAAGGAAACAATAAATCTGGAAGAAATTAGAATATCTCTTTTTTATCATTGACTTTAATATCTTTCACACATAAATTGTGTAATAGAGCCACATATTACATCAAATGCTAATATTATTGTTCAAATTTTTCAAATGGAGTAGGCTACACTTACAAGCAGTCATGTATTCATTACAACACAGGGATTACTGGTCGGATCACGTTTAATCTGCTAGACTTTTGCAATATGTTAAAAGAAAAGAGCAAAGTTTTATTTTTAGCCTATGCCTGCAAATGAATGCAGTTGATTGCACAGAATCTTAAATACACTCACTAGGTGAGTGTCAAAGGTTTTGACACTCACCTAGATTGAAACTAATTGGCTTTTGACTTGTACTGAAGTGCACTTTTTCATAATTTTCCAGTCCCTCCACGATTTGTTGTGCAGCCCAACAACCAGGATGGCATCTATGGCAAATCAGCAATCTTGAACTGTTCTGTTGATGGATACCCTCCTCCTAAGGTCATGTGGAAGCACGCCAGAGGAGCTTTAGGTACACGAACCTCTTGTCATACCGATGTGCACGTCAACTTTTGTCTGAAAAATACGTTACAATAACCTTCCTTGTTTGGTTCTCACCTTTTGTGCAGCTGGGATTGGAAACCCACAGCAGTACCACACAGTTCCTCTAACTGGCCGCATTCAGATCATGACTAATGGCTCCCTGTTGATCAGACATGTCCTGGAGGAAGATCGAGGTTTCTACCTCTGTCAGGCCTCCAATGGCGTGGGTTCGGACATCAGCAAGAGCATGGTCCTCACTGTTAAGAGTGAGTATACGCATGGAAACAAGGCAGTGGAAGAGATGGAACATTTAGGAGGCTCTGGTTTTGCTTTATTATTTGCTTTATTAGCATCCTTGCATGCTGTCAAGCCAATAAATTAGCTTGCAGTACTTTTGGATTGATGAAGCAAAGGTGACGATTAACAGAGGGAAAAGAAGAGCACCCCCGAGTGGGAGCAGTTTGTTTGCAGACCTGTGATAGACAGTGAGAAGATAACTGAGCCATTGATCTTTTGACTCATGGGATCTGTGTTGAGACAGTCAAAAAGACTTTGAGCTTGATCGTTATCTGTAATCAATGCCTCCATCCCGCTCTGCTTGTCAGGAACCTCCAAACCTTGTGTAAAAATGAAAAGGAAACAGTATATGTGCACACACTCATAAATCCAAAAAACAAAGATTATTACTGTCAAGTACAGCACCATCCAAGGCTAACTTGTAATGCATTGATCTTGCAATTCAGCTTTTCTCAAAAGAGAGACGTTAAGCTTGATATCTGGCAGCTTTTAACACTTGCGCACACAATCCAGTAAAACAAGGTGCAGATAACTGCATCTACTGTTCTCAACATGTTTTTCTCTCCGGTGCACTCCTTTCTCCTTCTCGTGTTAGTGTTATTGATTAAACCGTTCCTCTCCTCTGCCTTCCTCAATTCTGTCTGTTTCGCTCAGCGGAGAAGCGGGAAAAGCGGAAAAGACGGCGAGTGGGATGAATAAGTGATGAAAACAAAACAGCAGAACCATGGTCGGATCGATACTGTGGGTGTGTGCGTGTTTGTGTGTGAGTGCGCGTGTTGGACTTAGAAGATTGAGTATGTGAGGGATATGTGTATCGCACACGAAAGGTGGAGTGTATTGTTTTTGCCTCTTCATTCACTTACTCCCCTTATGTTAACTATTGGAGAATGAGAAAGGAGGTTTATTGACTTTACCTCAATGACCACAGCTCTTCATTGCTCTAATGCATTGGAACTCTGTTACTCTGAGCTCCTCCTATACCTCTCTCTGCTCTTTCACTTCTGTCTCCCTTTTCACTTAAATTCTGCTTAGTACTCTTGACTTACTCTTGACTTTTCTTTCATTTCTCTTTTATCTCTCACTGTCATCCAGCCTCCATTTCTGTTTAGTGTTTTCCTTTGCTTCTACATATTTGCCCACACCACACTCGATTTCCTCTCTCCCATTAGTCCCAGCAATGATCACCAGTCACCCCAACACTACCATGGCCAAGAAAGGTCATGTGAAGGAGCTGAACTGCACAGCCAGAGGAGAATGGCCCATCATCATCCGTTGGGAAAGAGGTGATACAGTGATTGACCCAGATCGCAACCCCCGGTACTCCATAACCACAAGCCCCAACGAAAAGACAGATGAGGTGTTGTCTACTCTCAAGGTAAAACACATTTGTTTATAGCAGAGCGTCTAGCTGATGAAATCAGACAATTATGTGTTTTTTTACTCACATCTTTGACAAATAGCTTTCTCTTCACTTATTTTAATTTCTTACATATTTCCTGTTGTCCACAAATCTTCATATTTAGAGGTTTTACCTTGGTGGGATGGGTGAAATGGTGAAGGTCTGCATTGCTGGGGTACACATAGTGAATCTTAGCGGTGCCTCATCCAAATCTTGAGTCCCCTAAACTATTAGAAAGCATACTTTCTGAGTGTCTGACCAATCACATCGGAGTATCACAAAGATGTAAAATTCTATACAGTTCACACAGTAAGACGATACAAAGATATTTTATCTTGAATATAGAGATCTTGCTGTTTTTCACTTAACTAATATTGCCTTTTTAGTTTAATGTTAGCAATCTTCTTGTAATGCACCATGACAACAAATGGGATTCAGATTGTTCTGATATAAATAAAGTAATTACATCTATACAACGATTCAAATAGAACTACTGAAAGTACATTTTTAAAACAACGTACTCTCTACTCACATTATCAGAAACATCAGTAAAGAGAAGAGAGATATTTACTAATTATTAGACAGTGGGTTGATATTGTGTTGGGTTCTTGATGCATTAGGAATTAGAAAATAGTTAATCATGGGGCATGCTGTGGTGGCATAAGGGGTTAGCACAACCCATGTATGAAGGCCTCGATGCGGCCGTCGCGGGGTCGACTCCTGGCCCCGGCAACATTTGCTGCATGTCGTCCTCTCTTTCCTGTCAGCCTGCTTTCAAAAAATACAGGCCTGTAGAGCCAACAAAAATCCTTGGAGTAAAAAATTACAACAAAAAAATAAAATAATTAATCATAAATTAACAAAACTACAACTTTGATCGAGTAGCTGGATGGCAAATTGTGAATCAAAATGTGACAGGCATCAAAGATTTTTTATAATTCTAACTGATGTAGAAGCAGTCTCTAACAAACATGCAACAGACACAGAAGAAGTCATTAAGACTCTTCCCAACACAACATTCCAGCACTGTGAATGAGTCGTTTTGTCTTTTTGACGCTTCTCTTTCTGCATTTCTCTCTGTAGCTAAAGCCAGCAGAGCGTGAAGATTCAGTCTTCTTCTCTTGTCATGCTATCAACTCTTATGGAGAAGGACGAGGCCTTATCCAACTAACTGTGCAAGGTATTCATTCAAGACAATATTTTCACAAAAATTAAAAACTGTATTGCTATCACTTCCCCACTTTTGGTTGCACCATCTGGTGTGTTTGTGTTATTTAGTTCTTAAATTCTCCTTAAATTTCTCAGAGCCTCCAGACCCTCCAGAGCTTGAAGTGCGAGAAGTAAAGGATCGTAGCATGAATCTTCGATGGACACAAAGATTTGATGGAAATAGCGTCATTACCTCCTATGACATTGAATACAAAAACAAGACAGGTAACTTCAACTACACTGCTTGTTGACACTACATAGCATTTTATTATTTACTGTATCTATTGGTTATTGAAATTAGATTTATTAATCTTTTTGTCTTGACAGATACTTGGGAGCTGAAGCATGCCACTCGAAATATATCTCCCACAAACAATCAGGCCAACATAGTAGACCTCCACCCTGCATCCGTCTACAGTATCCGTATGTTCTCATACAATGCAATAGGCAAGAGTGAGGCCAGTAAAGAGCTCACCATCAGCACTGAAGAAGCACGTAGGTTTCTGAATGGCACTATCTTTACTTTTGCATTCATGTACTAGAAATAGTAAAACCCTAAACTGTTTTACTGTGTGAACCTCTATACAGTTCACACAGTAAGAGGATAAAAAGATATTTTATCTTGACTATAGAGAATAGTGTTGATGGGAATTACCATAACGATGCAGACTTTGACTTTCTGTCTCTCACTGCACAGAGCCTGATGGTCCTCCAGTGGATGTCGTCCTTCAGCCAGTCACCTCTCAAAGTATCCGGGTGACCTGGAAGGCAAGTTTATATAACATGTGCCTTTCTTTCTTAGTAGTCTTGCTCCTGTAAGCAAGCTTCTCTATTCAGTTAATCAGTCGATCAAGTTTATTTGTGCAGGATATTTCAGCAACAAAGCACATAGATCATAAAACACAAAAATTGAAATTAAAAATTCATCAAAACATAATTTTCCAATAGCAGCTGGAGGCACCAAATACCATAATTAATACACTTTTTTCTGTTCTTGCTACATTTCTCTGCAGGCTCCAAGAAAGGAGCTACAGAATGGGGTTATTCGCGGTTACCAGATCGGCTACAGAGAGAATGGCCCTGGCAGCAACGGCCAGTATAGCATTGTTGAGATGAAAGCCACTGGGGACAGTGAGGTCTACACCCTGGACAACCTGAAGAAGTTTGCTCAGTATGGTGTGGTTGTCCAGGCCTTCAACAGAGCGGGCACAGGACCTTCAAGCTCAGAGATCAATGCGACAACACTGGAGGATGGTAAGGTTTGCCACAAACATAACACACATCATCATTATTGCTGGTGATTCATCTTCATTGAGGATTCAGATCTCTTGTTGACCAGCAGTAGTAAAACAAGTTAAACAGAATTGATCATTATAAACATTAACCTGCCAGCACTATGAATCTTTTCACCTTCGCTCTTCTTTTTCTCTGATCTACATATACTGCAATTTGTTTCAGCTTTCTCTTCGTACAATAATCTCTGTCAAGACATTTTCTGATTTGCAATCCACAATTGTTATATTCTCACTCGTTTTCTCCAGGCAACAATAAATGCTGTGCTGCTAGAATTCAAATGCTTCCGCACCAAGGACACAGATAGTCTCAAAGACACAGCGTAGTGCATTGCAGGAAACTGAGTGATCTCAGTAAATACATGCGGAGAAGCTGTTGTGCCCCCTGACTACTGAGGGGTAAACAGAATATTTCTGAGTGAGTGAACAAATGATTAAATGAGCTGCTAAGGCATGTTTTCTGGTATTACACAGTTTGGGACGTTTGAAAATCTTTTGTGTGTGTGTCAGGTATGCCTCAGTGTCACTAATGTTAAAAGGTGTCATTTTCAATTGCACCTTCCAACCATTCATGTGGTTGTTCTGCATAGACTCATTAAAAATGTTTTTTCGGTGCAATATTTCAAGAAATTTGATCAAAATCCATTAAAATTTTTTCTTGCACCTTATTTAAGGTCATTCTCAAAAGCAGTAACAGTGCTAAACCTTGACGAAGCAAAAGTCAGTTCTTGATTTTCCACAGCCAGGGAGTCAGCTTGGAGTGGGTTTTTTTTTACGTCATTAAAAACATTTCTCCCGAAAAGTAGTATTCAACTATAGTATTCTGAATTTATGTGGGGAATTGAACCCGAAGAAGACTGTTTAACTTCAAAAATGTCGCTTTTAATTTGGTATTTCTGCAAACAGATGTCATGATGCCACTGTTTTGTCTCTACTAGGACTTTTAAACATGCATTCAAACACTGAGTTTTTACAACCCTGATCAGGAGATCATGAGCACCACTAAAACTGCAAATAGAAGCTAGATAGAGTCTCAAATAGGATTTTAAATTAGACAAAACAAGACTCTTTATTGTCTATTAAAAGAATGCAAAATGGGCATTTTCTTTAAGTTTCTAGCAACAAAAGCATCCATGCAAAAATGCACAAAGCACGCAACTAAAACAAAGAACTAGAGAACATAAACACACACATTCAGTCATGTGAAAAAAAGCAGCTGATCTTAACTCTGCCTGGCCACAAAAAAAGACTGGCATTGATATTTTGGGAATAAAAACACATTGATCTACATAGACTTTGTATAAAACATGACAGGAAGATGAGAGACAGTAGACTCATATTCTGTCTGTCTTAAAACAACTTTGCATTTATATTAAAGCTTTGCTGTTTTGTTTTCAGTAAATGAAATGTTGTTCTTGTATGAAATAGAGTGCTTACGGTTTGCATAATTGAAAATCTGTCTAAAGCATTTTACCAAAGATGGCCGAGCTAAGAGCAGAGAAAAAGTTAAATATAGAAAGTTACTTAGTTATTGGCTAAAAAAGATAATTTACCCACAAAATGTCCCACATTTTATGCCTGAAAACATTGCAAAACAACCAAAATATAGTATTTGTCTTTCTCAGAAATTTAGCATTACAAGCTTATAATATTTTTGAGCCACAAAAGCAACATCACATGAATGCGTAAAGAAAAAAAATGTGTTTTTTTTTCTGGCTTCACAGAACACAATTTTTGATGATTTTATTTATACTTATGCATTTGCTCTGAATGATATGGAGCACTATATATATTCCCATTTATTTTTAATCCAATGCTAAAATTTCTCTGTCATGTACAAAACATTCAAGTTCACATGAACACATGCGTCACATAATTGTCCACAGGTGACTGAGCCTCATTGGTCCAGAAGAGACGTAGCCCTCCTGGTTCCTTCCTGTGGTTGTAACCCTGGCGACAGTGATATTGATGGCCATTATGATAATAATGATACCAACAAGCATACTAAAAATAATTATAATTAGCTTGTCTCTCTGTCTGTCTTTCTCTCTTTCCCTCTCCTGGCTTCCTGCTGTAATTATCCACAGCTGAGTGCTTTGTCTCTCTGCTCCCTCTTTTCATCTTTCTCCCCCTTTGCTTTTAACTCTCCTCCTCAATTCCGCCATTTATATTCAGTCTCTTTTCTCCATCTACTCCTTGTTGTTGATTTAGACCACAATGGCCTTCGATATATTAGCAGGGTTTTCCAAAAATCTGCACTTATTCCTGTTTTCTTCCTCCTAATCATTCTAACAGACGTATGAATCTGTTGAGCAGCTAAGCAAAAGCCAAATCTTAGATGTTTTTAGGTGTCTGCTTTCTTTGCCTGCATTCTAATTCTTACTTTGCCTCTGCGCAAGGTCTAAATATGGATATTGGGCTATCTTTTGATGCATCCTCATTATTTATCATTAGCTTCAAAGATCTATTAATGCAAAGCTCTGTTTTTGTTTTCTAACCCTCGTTTATTTCTGCCTCCCTTCCTCCATCCTCCCCCCCTCACTTCCTTTACTCTCCACCAGCTGCAGAGAAATTCTCTGGTGGACTTGGCACCGTCTCCTTCTTTGATTGCATGCTGTCTTTTAGTTAACTCTCTTCCTCTCTTCCTGTCCTTACTCCTTTCACAAGTTCACTTCTGTTCATCTTCAACAGTGGGAGTAATTCAAAGCCTGAATGGCTGGTGGTCAGTTGCAGCCAATACCAAAGACACCTGGGCTAGAAGAGACAGAGTGGGGCTTGTATGGAGAAAGAGAGATGATCCTATACATCAAAGTAGAAGCATGGCAGGGTTTTGTTGTAGTTGTTTTTATAAGTCACCACTCTGTTTTACGTAATCTAGGTCGGATGTGGAAATGCCGAATAGGTGTATCAAAATGATTTCTTGCCAAACTTTGTGGAGGTATCCTTTAAATTGGCCACGCTTTATGTTTTGGATGATTCAATATTGCCTTTCTTGTTGTAAAATTGTATTATTTTTTCATTCTGAAACATTAGAGTGAACATTTTGTTTTACATATGTGCACCAGGGGCCGTTCAATATGTGTTGCTTGTTCTCTCTGTACCAACAATGACTTATTCCTACAAACCAAACAATGGCAGGGTAGTTCAAATTAAATATTCAATTGGATTTTTATAAAGCTTTGACCTGCCAACATGGATTCAAGTTCTCTTTATCAACTATGGTTAGCTGTGTACTTTTATCATGTGGTTAAAAATGTTTAATCAATTAAAATTTAAATTTCCTGATTACATAATTGACATTTTGATTAACTGCCTATGTGTAGACGTCTGTGGTCAACTTTCCACTTAGTATAGACCTGTATGTATAAAATCTGAAAAGATGCAACCACATCTGTTCAGTAGTTTATTCCTCAGATAAAAATATGTATTCTCCATTTTCACTCCTCTATGAATTATTTATTTTGAAAAGTAACATAAGGGGATTTCCTTCGCCCTTTTGTGACAACCTGTTATTTTTAGTTAAACCTTTAGATGTATGTGGTTAAATGCGAGATACATTAGCAATATGTACATCTTTCTCTCTCATCTTTAGTGCCTAGTCAGCCTCCTCAGAACGTTCGAGCCATCTCTGTAACGTCAGATGAGGCGGTGATCAACTGGGCTGAACCTCCTAGAATGACTCTCCATGGTGTACTGAAGGGATATCGTGTTGTGTTCTGGGCTGTGTTCCCAGACGGAGGTACGACTGTCTGTCTGTCTGTCTGTCAAAATTATGAATTTTAATTGTGTTTTTAAGTTGATCTCAGTTTCTGGTGACTTTCAATCGTTAAGCAAATTACACAAATCAATGGAGTCTGTGCTGACGGGACTTAATAAAAGAAATCTGGCACACTATACCAAAAACCTAAACATAGTCAACTTTTTGGGTCTTTCACCAGGATGATTATTCAAACCAAAAGGCCAGATTTACATGGAAATTACTTGCCAGATAAAAACAACCTTATTCAATGCCCATGTTATTCCCCAAACCTTATTATCATATGGAGAGTATGTGGGGAGAGCTGGAGAGAAGAGATGATGATGATGATTATAGTGATGAGAGAAATGGTCAAATGTCCCTTTTTTTCTTACATAACATTCATCCATGCTGTCTAAGAACATTGTTGCGGTGCTGTTCCATTGGCAAAAAGGAGTCTGCACAAGGGTTTACCAGCAATGTCATAAATAAATATGTCAGCAGTGATGTTATTAAAAATATTAACTTGAAACATGAGTTTTATTTCTCATCAAATGACTGTACTCAAACTTATAATACTATATTTATGGATTTAAGAAATGTCCTATGTTTCTTAAGTAAGAGATGAAAATGTGTCTTTTTCTGTACTAGTGTGTGGAGAAGCTTGTAAATACTCCAACAGTGATCATTTGATGCCTCAGTTTATAGTTTGACTTTCACCAATCCTGTTCCCAGAGTGGGGTGAAATGCAAAACATTACAACCACTAAGGAGCAGGTGGAGCTCAAAGGCCTCGAGAAGTTCACCAACTACAGCATCCAGGTTCTGGCCTTCACCCAGGCCGGAGATGGTGTTCGGAGCAACGTCCTGTATATCCAAACCCGTGAAGACTGTAAGTTTGCATTTATTCGCTGTATCAGCTTAGATAAGCCAGGTAATTAAATTACCCACAATAATGTTTCATTTGCCTTGACGCTGTTTTTTGAAGCGGCTTTAAGGATTTTTCCTCCCAGTTTAGGCAGCAGTGTGGGAGGCAGGGAGCCAGCGGGTGCAGAGAGGGTCTTTGTACGGCTGAGGTTGCTGATTAACAACCTCTTTGTGCTCTGATGTGCCATTACCAGTGCTGATGAAAATTAAGAAGCCAAAAAGTGTGTGCTGCAAAGAACCCTAAGGGTGTCAGTCAGTGTGTGTGGATACGTGGGTATGTGTGTGCATCTGGGGGGTTAGAACTGTCTTTGCATGTGGACAAGTCTTCGGGTTGGTGTGCACGTATCGCTGCATATGTGTGCACCGCTCATTATTGTTTGTGTGCGAGTAGCTCACGACGAAGCAAGAGGAAAGGGATTAATTCTTTGTGGCTTAGAGAGAATTAATTTTGTGCTTACACTGGCGGGCTGTGGATTACATCCGTATCCGCCTCTCCTCTCCATCCCTGGGGCCAGTCAGCGAAGGAGGCAGGCATCTCGAGATGGAGAAAATGAGGGAGCGCTAGAGAGTGTGTGTGTGTGTTGGGGAGGGGGGTTCTAAGAAGTGTCATTTCAAAAAAGGCCTTTATTCTCTTTTCCTTGCCGTATCTCCATTTTCTGAGCTGGCCTCTGCGCAAGAGCTCTTCAAATGTGTGTATTTTTTTAGTCTTTGAGTGTGTCTGTCGGAGTCTGTCTTTTTACCCCTGATATGTGTTGACACTGTGTCCAGGGGCAACCTCTTCACAAACGTTATCTGTCTCTCTTGGCTTAACCCTTCCATTCGCCTTCGGTTCTGTCTGTAACACATGGAAAAGTGTTTGCAATGAAATTGTGCAAACAGCCAGCTTTCAGCCTGACATCTTATGCCTCTGTCTCTTGGATGCCCAAACACACTCTGGACAGTAAGCATAAGAACTTTTAACGTGGCCATTTATTTATATTGGGTTTTTTTTTAAGGTCCTGGAGACCCAGGGCTCTTTTCTTTTTGATTTGTAGTTGCTTGGTTTTTAGCTTACATTTTAGCAGTCTTGTGGTTTTTATGTCATGATTGCATTTCATTTTTGGTTGCTGTAACTGTAAAACAATTGAAGATAACCCAATTAAAATGATTACACATCTAATGCTAGTAAAAATTAAAATAACTTCCAGCTTAATTTCAATGGAATGTTTTCAATTAGTGTGATCTCTGCCATTAATTCACTTCCAGTGTTACTTTTTACATATCAAATATTATGCCAAGAGCAAGGTCACAACTAAAGTCTTTCCTTGTAAAAACCAAAAGGTTTATTTTTTAATCTTCGTCAGCATGACATCTGTGCACAACACTGATGTTCAACAACAGATTGACAAAAACATGAGATGGTTTGTAGAGAAAATAAAGGAAGGAAAATCGTTTGCTTTTACTGAAAATTATTGTTAAAGTAAATTTTCAGGAAATGCTTTGTTGGAATATTGGCAGAGTCAGGTGTCACATCTTATTGGATGAATGTTGATAAGAAAGTTTACTAATGGAACAACAAATTGTTAATATATCAGAGAAAATAAAAATGTGGTGAAACCAGCAGGGGGAAAAAAAAGCGTCTTATTTTTTTCACCTGATATCTGGACTTGCTTTTCTACAAAACCAACATGTCTTATGTCAGACTAATCTACTATTTTACTACTAAAATATCTTTGCTAATGTCTAAGCAACACCGTTTTGATGTATAATTCTGTATATTCTATAAATTTTGAAGCCACTTTCATCTAAGGCCTGAAATGCCTCCTTCTTCTGCCTGAGTAAAAGCAACATGGAGGCAGTAGAGGTAGGTCTACAGCTGTTAGGCCTTTTATTCAACAGGGACGTTGGTCACATAACAACGTGGATAGGTGGGAGGTGGGAGAGTGGTGGTTTTCCGACACTTTTTCACAAATACATGTGCATGCATTGTTGAGGCCATGACAGTTTAATCAGACTTTCATCTTTGCATCAGTATTGGTTTCATGTTGGAGCTGATTTGATATAATTTTGTGAAAAGGCCAAAGGACAAAGGATATTTAGGGAAGAGCATTTCAAGCTGAAATACTAATTATTAAAAATGCTAATTATTATTTATCTTCCTAATAATCCAACTCTGCAAAGACCACACAACCCTGCAGAAGACTCCTACTGCCATTTAATAAAGCCTTTTTTCTCATTTAACAAATAAAAGGTTGGTACCGTCACTCTTATGACATGTCACTATAATTGGCAAGTAGTTTACAGCCTTGAAAAAAAAAATAATCATACGCCAACATTAGACAACTCATTTACAAGATGGTGAGAGATAAGACAATTACATCATTTGGTGCATTCTTAACAATTTTACCAAGGAATTTTGGACTGTATAATATTTTTACTTAAAGACTTCAATGGTCAGTGATTGCAACTAAGTTGTTTCAAACAAACAAGTTAGTTGCAATCAAACAAAGCCATAGTGCTGTTAAGGATTGTGATGCTGTCTGGATGTCCACCATCATCTCTACAGTTTTGTGCGGCTTAAGCTGCCCATTGGTCAGTGCAGACTCAGGCCAGAGGGGGACAAACCATCAAACCTGGAGCATTCTGACTCTGCAAGAACACATTTACTTTTTTACATCTTCAGCCACAATTACATAACTCATGTAATCGTGGCTGAGCTTTTTGCTTAGCCACTGCACAAACATTGTTTTCCCAAACTCATTTTATTTTACACCACTAATATACAAACTAGATCAAGATAGCTAAAATTGTCTAATTTAACACAGAATAAATGGCTAAGGATGGTGTTTTTTTTTTCCTTTGTGTGATTCAGATCCCGGACCTCCAGCTGGCATTAAAGCAGTGCCCTCCTCTGCCAGCAGTGTCGTAGTGTCGTGGTTACCCCCTCACAAACCAAATGGAATCATCCGCAAGTACACCATCTACTGCTCCAGCTCCGGCTCCGGCCAACCGGTGAGTTACCATAGGGGTGTGGTGGATTTTAGTACTGATAAATGATTAAAAACTGGTAAGAGGGAGGCTTTAATGTGGAAGAGTAATAAGCAAGGACAGATTTATTTTTTTGATGAAACAGAAAGACCTTCTGTTGTGCATTCTGTATGTTATGTGAATGGTGACAGTTTCATTTAATTAAGGGCTGTACCGCTTTTGTTGTCTCTGAGTTTCTGTGCATGTGTCTGTGTTTCGCTCTGCATGTGCATGTGTGTGTGTGTGTGTCTGAGGCCTATTGCTGCAGTCTCAGCAAGATGTGTGCGTGAAATTAGCTCCCCTCATAGTGCAGTGTGTGTGCATGCAAGCTCACCCTCCAGCTTCATTTACATATCTGCGTCTCATCACGTTGCCAGGACAACCTCATCTGTTCATCAACCTGGGTGGAAAACAAGCCGAGAGCAAACACACACTCTCACTCCCACTCACACGCGCAGACACACTTCCACGCACGCACACGCAAGCACGCACACATTTAAGTAGAAAAACACTCTGAAATTTATCACGCCAGGGACAAAGTGCTTCATTCATGCACAGTATGCGTTTAATGTTTTTTTATGACTGTGTGAATTCAAAACCAAGAAATACATCTGCCATCGATACACATCCAAGCACACGCATGCACCCCACGGACCTTTCAAAAAAAAAAAAATCCATCTTGTTCTTTACCTCCCTCCCTCACAAATCATTCTTTATATCTACGCATCTATCCATCTATCTCTTTCTTTCGGCCTTTCTTTCTGTCTCCCAAGCTCCCATGCAGAGTTTGGGATGATTACTATGTAAATGAGTGCGACTGGAGAGAGGGAGGGTGGAGGGGGGGGTCAGACACTCCGCGCGGGGAGTACTTTTGTTCCTCTTTTCATTATCTTGCTCTATCGTTCCCCGGATCACCGCTATCTCCACGCTAGAGGAATATTTTAATATCCGTTACAGCAGTGTACACTCTGTCAATCCTTCCTCCCAAGATTTTCCCACCTACACTGTACAATCCTCCTTCTTTCCATGTGTCAATCCACCCATCCATCCTTTTCCTCCACTCACTGCAGAGGATATGGAGACAAATGTGCAGAGAAATATTTAAAGGGAGGAGGGATTATGGGGGAACTGTTGAAAACACATGGGGTTATCTGTGGATAGATGCATAGATAAGTGGGATAATAGGGAAAAGTGGTGACAGAGGAAAATGAGGAGATGGATGAGCAGTGGTGAAGGAAAGGAAAAGATGGTGCATTGGATAAAGAGGGAGGGAAACCAGATAAGAATGGCACAGACAAAAGGGAATGAACACATTAGAGACAAATTTCAGTAATTTTGACAATGATTACTTGTTCGTGGGAGTAAAAAAAGAAAGAGAGAGACATAATCTGATTAAAGCATTGTACTTACTAAACATAAGCCAATCAGAAGTGCATGGTCATTTTCAGTAAAGCTTTGCACTGGCAATGCTAAATTCTCTCAAGGAAGTACAATATCAGAAATTAACATTTAGCATATATATTTTTCAGTAAGTGATCATTATTTGTATCAGGAGAAGAGATGACATTCTCTATTAAACAGCATTTTTGAATAATAAAAAAACAGACCAAATAATTGTGTAGTTTATGTAGTAAGTTGAATTTGGAACCTTATATAACCACATTTAACATGGTTAACAAATGTTGGTAATACTTGAAATAGCTCTCATATCTTTTGTGCATTCAAATGATATGAGAGCTATTTCTTTTTGACTGTTTTCTTTTTTACTTAGTTGCTCACTCAACACTCAACAGTGGCTACCACAACATTGATACTCATTGGACGAGGTCTTATTTTTCAGTAGTTCCAATTGACTGGTCACCATCATTACCAATCAGACTGATGTCCCGGCCACCAGCCCAGGTTTTGTTGCCCCACTCGGCACTAAAAGATCTGAGCTCAGCAGCTTTCACAGATCTTACTCATGTGACTTTTTTTTTCTGACTTTTCAACCCACTTGACTCCTGTATCGCAACCTTCCTTTCATCAAGCTGCTGTCTGTCAGAAATGTAAGTCAGTGTTAAATCACTGAGGTGTGGTAAAAAGTGATTTAGCTGGTGGAAGATGTGAAATGATGCCGCCGCACAAAAGTGCTACATTTGTGATGTCGTTTTCTTTTTATGACTCTATTCATAGATGAAAGCACAGAAATGGACTGAATGGCCAAGGACAACTGTGTGAAAGTGTGTGTCTGTTCATCTGGATTGCGTGTGTGTGTGGGTGTGTGTCACGGGAAGGCTGAGTTAGCTGAAGAGTAGGTGTGGAGTAGGAGTTGAGGGAATACAGGTATAATTGGTGGGTAGGAGAATCGTGATTGGCAGTAAGAAAAAATAGTGATTTTTCTCTCTGTGAATGTGGGATTGCATGTGTGTGTGCTGAGGGGACAGTGATGCGTACATGTCTAGACAGCAGACACATGGCCGGGTTAAACACACTGCAATTACATATCCACCTCCAGGTCGTGTGTGCCACTCTGTGTGCGCATCTATTTGTGTGTCGGTGCCTCAGTCTATATGTGTTGGTGTGTTTTTAGCCATGTCTCCTTCTCTGTTTATGTGACTCTCCTCGCCTTTCCTCCATCAAAGATCCCTTCTGCAGATATGGCTGTTCATGATATCTCCGACTGACTCATTAGTCTGTTCCCTGTTGTCTTGCTCTGTCATATCTGTGTTTGATCTCCCAGGAGAACGGTGGAGGAAAGGGCAAGGGGGTTTCCCTTCCCCCAGTAAAACCTTCACATCTTTTTATTTTTCACCACCGCTACCCACTTTTCTAGCTTCATACATTCAGACAGTTTTGCCTTAGAACAAGTGTACCATGCCCCCAAACCTCTATGACTTTGTCTCATCATTTTATCTGTTCCACTTCCACACAGTTTACACAAAATATACAGCAGTGATGTGCACTTAGTGCTTCTCATCACATCTACTGTTTCCTGTGAAAGTTTCCTGTACCGCTTCAGCTTTATCGCATTTCGTCAAACTACACAAACAACAATGTGTCTTACTGGGATTTTATGTTCATTATTAAAATTAGATGAAAAATTATTCAAGTTTATTTAATGATTTTACAATGAGAAAAGTGGCATGTATTTGTTTCCAGTCATTTAGAGTGAAATCCAGTGCAAATAAGTTGCCTTCAAAGGTCATCTGATTATTTATTATTATGCTATAGGAAAGATTTTATTCAACAAGGACAGGAAATCAGGTCAAAATCTGGGAAGTTAAATACAGGGCAATCTGTTAGACATGGACTATCAAGGAGTTTTAGATCCAGGTGGAATACATGCAGTGTCTCAATCACAAATTCATACTACAATACAGGGGTCAATAAGCCACTTGGGGCTCAGTGTCTGGTCCATGTTTACAGCTTTCAGATTTCTATTCTTCCCACAGAACAAGTTGCCCCATTGGAGACATACCTTAAAGCTCAGGAGAGACTAAAACCAGCTACACATGTCACTTTTCAGAGATAGATCCACTTATCTCTGAAAAGTTTACTGTCTCCTTGATTATTTTGTCTCTCTCTCTCTTTTATTTTTATTTTTTTTCCAGTCCCAGAGAATCAGGACAAAGTGGCCATTTTATAACACCACCAGATGTGTCCGTCATGTTTAACCCCATGCTTTTTCTGCTTTATTTCAGCTGCCAAGTGAGTATGAAGCTAACCCAGAACTTCTTCTTTACCGAATCACCCACCTGAACCACCGGCAGCAGTACCTGATCTGGGCTGCCGCTGTCACCACCGCCGGCCGCGGTAACATCAGCGACAAAGTCACGGTGGAGCCTGCTGCAAAGGGTGAGCCCTTCAATGGCACTGTGGCATCGATTCTGACTACTCAACATTTATAGATTTCAATCACAATATATTCCACCTAATGGCAAACAGCGGTTGGAATTTTTTAGTGGTATGATTACCTGTATGTTTCAAGGTGTCAGAGTAATCTCACAAATATGCAACTAAAATTTTGAAAATGATTGTATTGCTTTTATTTGAAGAAAAATAATTTAGTGGCCGATACTGAAGTTACATAACCCAGTAATTACTATATTACTATATTGATATTTAGCGAACAATAAAATGTAATAAACTAAATTTAGTCTTCGTTTTCAAATAGGTAAGCAGAAAAATAATTAGAAAGAAAGTTTATTTTGGCTTTTCTGTTGTTTAAAGACTAACACAGGGAGAAAAATCTGATATTTGTGAGCAATTTGTTTGGCTATCTGCTCAAGTCATCTGTTGCCTGCTTCACATACATGCTTCTTATAGCTTGTCCATGTTGTTCATGACCAAAAATATCACCAAAGAGCCAAGTTTGTTTTCCTTCAGAGCTAAGAGAAAGTATAGCAGCCTTCTTTCCAGCAACAAAGCAACAAGTGAGGGTCAGTGCAGAACTGAACTTTCTCCGGCATCTCGTTGAAAGGACTTTCATCTGTATACCGGCTTGATAATGACTTGCTCCATTGCTTTCTTTCAAGCACAAGCCTGAAAGATTTAATAACTTAAATGTTTTCTTTAAATTAAAGGGCATCACTATTTTAAAAATCATTGCCTCGCAAGTAATTTATGCTTCGGAGAGGATTCTCAAATTATGTAGCCATCTCGTCCATTATTAACAGATGTGGAACTTTTGAAAGACAGCAGAAAGTTGTAATTTTCTGCTGTTTTCACAGATTTAAAAAATCATATTAAAAGCAATTTCTGACACATTTACTTTGAGTCAACTGTGTTGATTGATTTTCACTGCGTGCATAGTCTTTCATTCTCACAAAGCACTTTACACTATTAAGTCTGGAGTAGTTGCTGCTCTTCAAACCTCTTGCTTTCTTTGAAACAAAAGCAACGATTCCTGAAGGATGCTTTTTCTTGATATCACTCAGCTTCTTCTCACTTTGCCCCTTATTCAACTCACTGTATCGAGGTTTTTTATTTTTTTTCTCCTCTTGATTCCTTCTGTGCTGCTGCCTGTTAAGACTTCACAGAGGTGTGCTATTGATTTTTGGAGTTCAGAGTGCACCAGATAAAATGCCTCCAGCCAGGGAGGTGATCAGGAGGGGAGACAGACAGCAGGAAAGACAACAGGGGGAAGGCAAAAGAAAATGACTAAACAGGAGTGGAGAAAACTCCCAAGCAAAACAAGATACAGGCGGTGTGTGTAGGAAATGAGCGTGTCAGTTACAGTTAATCAATAGGCTTTCGGATTCAAAGGTGGAAAATATTGTATGAATGATCTGTCCGTTTTCTTTATCTGCTCATCCTTCTGACCTCCAAGGGCAAAGGTTTGCTGGCTTGCTGGTGTGAGTGCCGGGCTCATCTGATCAGCAGCTGTAAAAAAACAGTGTCCTCCAGGCTAGAACAGTCAATACCTAATTTAACCTTAACATAAGTGCACTAGAGCACAACCATTTAGAAGTGTGGGAAAGAAAAAGAGAGAGCAGTTGGTGGAGTAGCACTGAAAAAAGAGGTTACGTGACAACCAAAGAGGATATTTTTTGTGTCCTCTATACTTCCTCGTTGTCTTCTCCTATAATCATCTTTTTTTTCTTCATTTTTTATGGATAACATATTAAATGTTATCCATAAAAACATTGAAAGTCAAATATGAATCCCAGGAAATTCTTATGAATTTAATCTGATTCATAAGAAAACTCATTACTTTTCTTATGAATCACAGGAAAGAAAAAAAAAATGTATCCATCTGCTTATCAAACAAATAAAAGTACATTGATTTATGCTTAACCAGGGATTCATATATTTGATTATATTGAAAATGACATTTTACTCATTTGACCCAAATAGGGTGTTTAGCATTTTTGAGAATTGCTTGTTAATCATAGCAGAGTCCTCCACATGCAGTTGTAACCTCTGTAAATATGTGTAAAAATTATTGAAGTAAACTAAATTTATCATTCATTACACCATTATTTTTATAAGCATATCTTATAAAAATGCAACCATTATTTTAAGCACATTAAGAAATGTGCTTAAGTTAATAAATTACTATATTAATCAAAATGATGAGCTCACACATCCCACACAAAGTTACCAGATTAAAGCTGGACAAAGTATTAACAGGAGTACCGATAAATGTGTCCCAACTAATAAAAAAACCAACAGTTGTTCTTTAATATATTATTTAATTAACTTTGTAAGTATATGCAAATATTTTTATGTTTGAGTTTATGGTACCACAATGATGGATGGCTTTTTTTTTTCTGTTTTCTGCTTTTAATTGATGTATAAAGTAAAAACAGCAGAATAATTAAAATAGTTAAATGTACCAATTGCTTACAAAAGAGAGAATTTTTTAAATAAAACAATTACACATCTTTGTATGTTAGATTTGAGTCAACTCAAGCTCTTTCCCATATATATATATATATATATATATATATATATATATATATATATATATATATATATATATATATATATATATATATATATATATTACAAGTACTTCTTTCATTTGTATCCATTTTTCTTCAACAGCCCCTGCCAAAATCTTATCATTTGGAGGTACAGTAACCACTCCTTGGATGAAGGAGGTGCGTCTGCCTTGTAGTTCCGTAGGTGAACCAACACCTACCATCAAATGGACCAAAGACAGGTGACCATCCATTCCATGTACTGTGTATCTGTCACCTTTCTTTTATAATTGTTCCCTTCTTTTAGTGAGGACACAGCAATCCCAGTGTCTCTCGATGGACAGCGTCTCATTCTGGCGAACGGGACACTGGTGCTGCGATCCGTCAAAGCTGAAGACTCTGGTTATTACACCTGCACAGCTACCAACACATTGGGCTTCGACACCATCATAGTCAACCTTTTGGTGCAAGGTATGAGATTATGGGTTTAGTGGCAGCTTGTGGCATTCATGATTTAAAAAAATGCAAAAATCTATTGAACAAGCTATTCATCAGCAGCCATGATTCTGCAGGAGCAGGAAAGAGTAGACTCTGAACTCTCCATGCTCTTCCACAGTCCCTCCAGATCAGCCTCGTCTAACCGTTTCCACCACCTCCACCTCCTCTATTACTCTCGCCTGGATTCCAGGGGACAATGGAGGCAGCTCCATCAGAGGTGAGTTGCTGTACTAAAACGAAGGGTTTCTTTTTGTTGTCCCTACACAATGATAAATTGTAATGATCAATTCATCTGACATGACAAGTCAAGACACCAGAGAGAGAGATGAGATCCCCAACGTGTTCACATTGCTTCTATGATGATCTCTTGTTGCTGGAACTTCAAGCTTCAGTTTGTTTTTCTCTTTTCACCATTTCTCTAATATGTTTTTTGTTCTCATCTCTTACCATTTTAGTTAATTCCTTGTCTCAGTTCCTCGTTGCATTTTGGATTTTTCTTTTCTTTTTATGTACATTTACATTTTCTTTCTCTTACAATTTTATAAGATTCAGAGTACTTACCCCTTCTCATTTCCCTGACCTGGCTAACCTTTCTATCTCAAAGAGTTTGAATATTGCATAAAGGGGCAATATATTTTGCCAGTCATCTCAGAAAGTGAATTTCTTTGCATGGAGTTTTATCATACATGGAATAAAATTTTCCCGTAGCATGATTCTGCCGCCACCATGCTTCACTGATGGTCTGGTGATGGAATCGTACCTGGTTTCTAATTCAGTTCAATTCAAATTCAATTCAATTCAATTCAAAAATACTTTATTATGCCCCTTTTGTTAAGGAGCGTTTTTTGTCCAGCCATTCTACCTCACAAGGTAGAAGGTTCTTCACTCTCCACAGAGGAATGTTGGAGGTCTGACATAGTGGCCATCAGGTTCTGGCTCACCTCCCCGACTAAGGCTTTTCTCCACCGATTGCTCGGTTTGAATGACCAGCCAGCTCTAGGAAGTGTCCTGGATTTTCCAAAATTCTTCCTTTTATCAGTGATGGAGCCGACTGAGCTCATTGGGACCTTCATAACCGCAGAAATATTTCTGGGTCCTTCTACAGATTTGTGCCTCAAGACAAACTAGTATCTGAGGTTCACAGACAATTGCTTTAATTTTATGCCTAGTGTTTGACCTCTGACCTGATGTCAACTTTGGGAGCTTATCCAGACAGGCGTGTGCCTTTCAAAGACAAGTCCAATCAACTGAATTGACCACAGGTACACTATGTTTAAACTGCAGAATCCTCTGAAAACTGACTTTGTACACTTCTGAATAAGGCTGCAACATAACGAAACGTGAGAAAATTGAAGTGCTGTAAATACAAATACTTTCCAGAAGCACTTTAATGTACGTTACACGGACATGTTGTCCAGAAGGCTGACAGTTTTGCAATTTAGGTGTTTTATTGATGTTATGTAACATTCTAGTTTTCTGAGACTTTGGGTTTTCTTTACATTCAAACCCTTTTCTTTAAATTAACAGGAATAAACCCTTAAAATGTATTGCTCTTTTTGATCGATTTACTGTTTACAATGTATGAATTTAATTACTTAATAAATAACTTTTGATCATATGTGATGAAAAAGACACCACTAAATTCATACTGTCTTCTTTCTGTATATCACTGTTTGCTTTTGATGGTTTTTTTTTTTTTTTGTTACCTGCCACATTTTTAGTGTTCATTTTGATCCATCAATTCATTGAGTGGTGTCTCGCTTTTATGCTTCCCTGTTGACTGTGTGTCTATCTGATTATCGTATTATTGGTGATCTCTTTGTGTGGAAGGCTGCAGTGTGTGTGGCTGAATGGGCATGCATGCAAATGAAGTTTCAGCTGCTGTCTTTGTTCATCCCATTTGTCAGGACTGGGGGGTGGTAGGAGCATTGCAGATTCAGCTGTCTGATTTCACGCTGCAGTTATTACCTATATGACACATCAAACATCAGCTGTGCGGTCATTTCCTAACATTGTGTATAACTTTGTCCATGGTTTAATTTGTTAATTTAAAAAAAAAAAAGGATGAACTTTGAAGAAATTAGATTTCAAAAGTGATTTCATTAAGTGTTTGTCATACCTAAATCTGACACTTTTTCTTTTTACATACCAGTAACCAACCTGCAAGAGATCCTCAGAAAAACAAGCAAACGGACAGAAAAACTCTTGTGCATTCAATGTGCACATCGAAATGGAAAACAATAAAAACAGTGTGCTGGACGTGCAGTTTTCTATTTCAAATAATGGTGCTCCTCACTCTGGTATTTGCATGCATCGTTCTGTGCTGCATATATGCATAATCTCATCTGTGTATCTTTTGTGAATACCAGAATGCCTGCCTGCTTGTAAGGCATCTGTGCTATGCCATGCTCAAGGTTCCCATAAACAAACATTTCTGCATTAATTCTAAATTGGGAACAGTAAACATTTATGCTCTTTCTGAGTTTTCCATTCAGTTTGCACAGGAATAATAAAGAAAAGGTACTGAGAACTAGATTTACAAACACTTTAAGGTGGCAAAATCTGCATTATTTAAAAATCTGTTTTAAGTTAGCATCTTCTTGCATTATTACAGCTTGTAGCTGTGCTATTCTGTTCTGTGGCAGATTTTAAAACTTCAAAACACAGCTCAAATTTTGCATAGTAACCAATGCAATGCTTTGGAGTCAGACACACCGTCTGTTAGAAAGAAAATGAGGGAAAAGCAGACAGTACAAAGGATTAAAATACAGAGTGGACACATTCAGATATGCATAATTACATAGAGATGAAAAAGAGGCAAAGACTGACAGAGGATAGGTAGAAATACTCCTATAGCAGGTGGGAGCTGGCTCTGCAAGGAAGCTGATTATCAAAACAGTCACCATATTGCAAACCCGCATTTGCATAGATGCTCAGTCAGCGCCATCCCAGGCTTTGGGTTTGTAGGTAACTAATGGCGGCGTAGATGGAAAGCAGCAACACTTTCTGTCTATTTAGGCTTCACTGAAAGCAAAGGGTAGTCTTTCATTGCCATCTGGTGGACAGTAAAGGTACCAATATCATAACGTTTGGAAAGGACTGCAACAAATCACTCAAGAGTAATCATAGTTTGCAGATCTTAAAACTGTATATACCCCTCATAAAACCCAGTTCTTTGTGATGTAAAAAATCAGATCAGAATAACTAATTTCCTAACTTTTTCCATGTATTGACAAGCGAATCTGTTCGAATTTCCCATTAAATTATTATGTCTTTCATCTGGATGTATATTTTGACTTGGGCACAAAAAGAACAAGGATCATTATGAGTATTGTCTGTCTTTCTTTTCGTGTAGGCTTTGTGCTACAGTATTCTGTTGATAACACAGAAGAATGGAAAGATGTTTTCATCAGTTCATCAGAGCGTTCATTTAAACTGGAGAGCCTGCGCTGTGGGACCTGGTACAAAGTCAAGCTGGCTGCCAAGAACAGCGTTGGAGCTGGACGCATCAGCGAGATCATTGAGGCAAAGACCCACGGGCGAGGTAGCGTCAGAAAAAGTTCAATCTAAAACATTTACAGCAACATTAACAGGCCTATAAAAGAGGAAACAGTACCATGGTAAAAAAGAAGAAAGATCCCCTTTAAAATCTGGGATATTATGTATGTAGCATGTAACTTTAGTTTTAAAGTTATACCTATCTTTGCACAAGCTCTATTATAATTGCATTAGTGCTGTGCATTGACATAAATAAGCACTCTGGTATTCACAGTAGCTTTTTTGAGAGCTTTGAACTTAAAAGTGTTATAGTTGGTGTTGGTTTGGAGATGCAGCAGAGTTGAGTGTAAGAGTAAAACTGCAGTCTAATTTATTCAGTCCCTTATGACTTTGCTCTCTTACTATTGCTTATGTACGATAAGTATTATCAAGTACAGCTTAGATGTATCAAGAAACACCAGTTTCATGTAGCATCAACAATGGTCATGATTAAGAAAAATGCAGTCTTTATGGGCACATTTTCTATCAAAGTTAGACTCATTTGTCTTTTTGACAACTTCAGCGAGGAAATATGTGAATGGCTTTGCTTGAAATAAAACCCCATTTATGTGAAAAAGAGAGCAGGAGACAACAGGTGTAATTTACTGACCAGAGCCAAGGTTTGCAAATACTCTGCAGTGGCATAATTAATAAACTAATTAGAATGGAATATATATAGTTGTGTAGTTGAAATCAGATGATTACTTGCATTTTATGAAAAAAAACAACCTTTTTTTATTACTGTCTGAGATTGAATTAAACACTTCCTGTTTCGGAACAGCTATGATAACCACCAATTATTTCTCTGTGCAAAGTGCCAGAATAATGAGACACAGAGATATTTTTTTATTTCTTTAGTAGAAGCCAGAAGTTGAGATTCACCACGATTGCTATGTATTACAATTTCTGAACATCAGGATGATGATGTCATAACTGTTCTGATGACTTAATTTATGTTTTCACATTTAGCAGATGCCTTCATCCAAAGTGACTTTAAGGGAGGCTATAACGGTGTTGTAAATATCAAAGTTATATAGCTATTTAAAAAGAAGACCATTAACGAGGTTCTGTCAGACAGTAAAGAAATAGAATGGAGAGTTGGAGGGAAGTGCAGTAGAGGAGCCACTGTGGATGTATTTTTAAGTGACATCGTAACACATTGCTTCTTTCGGTTACATCATGGAGAAGTAAAAAGAAATCATGTCATCAAGAAGAAAACGTTAACCTTGTCATGTTGCCTTTAGAAATGGCAAATTTGTCACTTCTAAAGGAGCCAAATTTGTATTCAAGCTATTACACTAAAGTTTAAACACCATAGGAATGTCCAGCAGTCAGACTGTAGACTTTAGGATGGAGATGAGGTCTGTGTTCAGGAGATGATCATGCTGTGATGCAACATAGGTGACTTAATATCATGACAAAAGCAAGAGACCTTGTGACGATACTACCTGAAGTTTGATATTTGGCAAGTCCCTTATCGACGTTCACTGAAAGGCCATTTATTGAGGATGACAAACTGGATTCTTAGATTTGTCTTAGTTGTAAAAATACTTTATCTACCACAATGGCTACTGTACAATCTATTTCATAATAACTGATGATATTTATTTATATATCAACTGAACCATCTTGGTGTTTTGCTTTTTCAGAGCCTCAGTTCAACAAAGACCAGCCGATCTTCACCTACGTCAACTCCACCCATGCTCGCCTCAACCTGCAGGGCTGGGCCAGCGGAGGCTGTCCAATCACCTCAATGACACTGGAATTCAGACCAAAAGGTGGGACATTTGTTTTTCAGTTCTTAAACTGCTAAATATGTTTTGATAATAAAAAATAAAAAACATCAAAAAGGTTACTTTTATCAAGATCGTGCAGCCTTTACTGACAGTCATAGTAAAATAAAACGAACTTGAGATGAAAGTTTGCATTTGTACAGGTATGTGGACATGGCAGCATGTCCGCACCAACGCCACCACAGATGTGTTTCTGGCAGAGCTGCGTGAAGGCACCTGGTATGAGCTGAAGATGAAAGCTTGTAACAGCGCTGGCTGTGGCAACCAGAGTTCTCAGTTTTCAACACCGAACTATGATGGCAGTGAGTAGATACTCTTTCTCTTTGTTTGTTTTATTTTATTTTAACAATACTACAGTCACAAAGAAGCCATTGACAATATCCTCCTGCTTGTATACAGGCACCATTCCTCCCATTAAGTCCCCCTTGGAAAAAAATGATGACGTGAAGAAACTGTTTTCAATTGGCTGTCCTGTGATTCTGGTGACTCTTGGGGTTGCGCTGCTGTTTGTCGCCATTCGCAAGAAACGCAAAGAGAAGAGGCTGAAGAGACTCCGAGGTAAGTGACCGTCTGAGAAAAGAGAAAAGGCATAAACACAGTAAAAGTAAAGCAGAGTGAGACTCCGTGAAAATGTTCTAAGCAGTTTATATCTTACCTTGGCAGTTTTATTTAGTGCAGCAATATTGAGTTCCTCTCTTGGGGTTTCAGCAATATTTTTTGGGGCAGAATAAAAAATAGTTTTCAGAAATATAGAAAACCACAGAATTTGCAGTTATTGTAGTGTTATTCAGTCCATTTCAATATTCAGTACCCGACTCCAACGTGGTTTTAATGCCAGAAAGTTTTCACATTGCTTAGTTTGTTGTTTTCACAAATAAGGAATATACTGAAAGTTGCATGCATCTTAAAATATTTCGATCAAACTAATTAAAAACTGTGAAATAGCCCTTCAGTTTGGAGTTGATAAGAAACTAATCCTAATCCTAGCGTAGTTAGAAGCTAATAGCTGGCAACAGCAATCTCAGAGTGCTCAGATACCTCTGTCACACTTTCGCCATTTCCTTTTTGTTTTTTACCTTAAATGTTTTGTACCTGTAATTTTTGACCTTAAAGTGGTGTCAGATTCTGCAGTTTTCATGTGACTGAGTGTTATCACCAAGCCTGAGTTTCATTATGCTGGTATTACAAATCATAGTTTAACACTGAGCGACAAACACCAGAAACTGGCTTGCTACACAGGACAAAGAGCATTTCGCTTGTCCTGTCCTTCCTTGAAATCCCATGGTTCCCGTCGAACCACAGAGCAAATATCACAATGACTTGTGGCTATTATATAAATGTATTAACAAGAAATAAAAGAATAATTACTCAAATGCATATGACTATATGCACATTATATTTCCTGTTCTCTTAGATGCCAAAAGCCTGGCAGAGATGCTCATCAGGTGAGATACATTATTTTGTGACCCAAATTCCAACATTTTATTTAGCTTTATAAAAAGACAAAAACTTAAATGTACCCTGAAAGTCAGCTTTATGCGTTTTCTGAAAGACGCAGGTGATTGTGTATGCTAATCTTGCTTCTCTGAATTAGTAAAAACAACCGCAGCTTTGACACGCCAGTGAAAGGACCTCCTCAGGGCCCACGGCTACACATTGACATCCCCAGAGTGCAGCTGCTAATTGAGGACAAAGAAGGCATCAAGCAAATTGGTGAGAAAAAAAAACAATGAGAAGGTTGTGCATATTTCACATTTACTGGATCAAGCAGTCTGTAGATTAATAACAGCTACTAGGAACTTTGTATGTTTGATGAACTAAATTAATTTTACCTGTTGTAGGAGATGACAAGGCCACTATTCCTGTGACAGACACAGAGTTCAACCAAACTGGGAATCCTCAGAGCTTCTGCACTGGTGTTTCTGTCCACCACCCTGCCCTCATCCAAAACACAGGTCCTTTGATAGACATGTCTGACATCAGACCAGGAACCAGTATGTGTTCTTTTCCATCACTGTTCATTTTACCAGAAACTTCTAGTGCAAATGCCATATTTATCATAGAGTAATTGGTATAAACATCGACTGTGAAAAATTTCTGCTTTTCTGCTCAATTTCTTGTCACATATCAACTTTTTGTCACGGTACTGGGGACAAATATTGGTTCACAAATATAAAGCTGTGGTTTTTGTTTTGTTTTTTTTCTGTAAATGTTCATCCATTTTCTTGACTGTAAACTCTGTCTGTACATATGTGCATTTCATTTATTTATTTGGGTTTTTTTCTTCTGCTTGCCACCAGACCCAGTGTCAAGGAAGAGTGTCAAGTCAGCCCACAGCATCAGGAACCGCTACTCCAGTCAGTGGACTCTGACCAAGTGTCAGGCTTCAACGCCAGCCCGCACTCTCACTTCAGACTGGCGCACAGTTGGTTCTCAGCATGGTATCACTGTCACAGAGAGTGACAGCTACAGTGCCAGCCTCTCACAGGACACAGGTTGGTACAAGGGTGAAATGACACTTACAGCCATTAACATGTACCAAATAAACCGTGCTCTTGAGTGCATAAAATACTGGACAAAATGTACTTCCTCTTATGTCACAGACAAGGGGCGCAACAGCATGGTGTCCACCGAGAGTGCCTCCTCCACCTACGAAGAACTGGCGAGAGCCTACGAGCATGCAAAGCTGGAGGAACACCTGCAACATGCCAAATTTGAGATTACAGAGTGCTTTATATCCGACAGCTCATCTGATCAGATGACCACAGGTACCAATGACAACGCAGACAGTATGACGTCTATGAGCACACCATCAGAGCCCGGTATCTGCCGTTTCACTGCCTCACCACCCAAACCCCAAGACTACGATCGTGGCAAGAATGTAGCCGTGCCCATTCCACACCGCGCCAAGAGTAAGTGGACAATGTTTCCCATTTATTTTAGAGTACGTATGCATATGTGAAAATAATATGATCGGTATTTAAAACCCATTAACACTCTTCTGCTATGCAGGGGTTTTTGATACCATTTCCGTTTATACGCATGTTATACATCATTGTAAAGCTATGATTTTTGGAATTCCAATGATTCACACCAAGCAAGGATTTAATCAAAATTGTACACACAGTAAATGGTTTTGTCAAACCATTCAGAAATGCAGTATTAACAATGTTCCAGTCATTGTCTGAAATGTTATATGATTAACAGAGAAAGTTAACCTTGTTTGTTTATCTTCAAACAAGATTTGAAGATAAACCTTAAAGATAAACCTTGATAAACCAATCAAAGGTTTATCTTCAAGGGTCCAATTTATGCACTCCAATAAAATAGTTTGTCCACAGCAAATCTGATGTGCACAGTCAAACAGAATCTGTCACTGAAGATCTTTGAAATTTTCTTCAGATGGTAATTCTTAATTCAACATTTATAGCCTTTTGTTTTGAGCGAGATCTTCAAGTTAAATTTGAGCTTCTTTTTTCTTTCCTCTCCAGGCGACTACTGCAACCTGCCCCTGTACATGAAGTCCGATCCCTTTTTCCGAAAGCAGTCAGAACATCATGACCCATGTCCAGTTGTTCCACCACGCGAAGCCTCTATTCGTGGCCTAGCCCAGCGGGCGTACCACAGCCAGGGCCGTCACATGACTATGGACTCTGGAAAGCAACAGGCTCTGACCATGGGCCACTCCGGCCTGTCAAACCTCACTTCCTCTGGGGCGTCTTCTGGAGGAGCAACAGGAGGCGGCGGTGGAGGCAGTGGAAGTGGAGGCTTGTCTGCTAGCTCCAGCAGCTCCACGCTTCCCCAGCGGACTCTCACCATGCCTAGCTCCTCTGCTTCTGCGGCTCAGAGTGCTGCTGCCGCCGCTGCAGCTACAGCTGCTGCAGGGGGCGCGTCATCTTCCTCTGGCGGTGGGGCAGCAGGGACCTCAGGGGGGACCCCTGGAGGTGCCTCTTCTTCCTCCTCCAAAATGGGAGGATCCAGAGACTCTCTCCTGGAGAGCAGCTCTTCGGGATTAGGCAGACTGCAGAAGCAGAGGGATGGGGGGTCAGGAGCCTACTCCAAGTCCTACACACTGGTGTAGCCTGCCAATAGCGAGGCCTGTCACTGTAACTCTTAATACAATGCTGGTTCAACCAGTGTTTGCCTGGAGCCTCTATGGTGAATCGGGGTGATGAACATACACATGCACAGCTTACCCGTCAGTGCCTGTGCTGTGCCAGCCTGCAGGGAGCTGGTTGGGCTCCCATCAACACAACTGTTTCAAGGGGTCAGAGCTGGGTGTCCACAGCACAGGGGCTTGCCTTTCTTTCTGCCTGATTGTGTTCCGTTATATTTGTGTAATTTCTCTCTTTCTCTCTCTCTCTCTTTCTATTTTTTAAATCACCCTGGAAATCACTTTCCAAAACAAAAATGATTTATCTGTTCAGTCTATCTTCATTTTCAGGCAAGGACACAGAACTTATGCACAAAATGCTTTTAACTTGCACTGTCTTGCTTTCTATAACAAGACAGCCGTCGATTGAACCAGGTTGCTTAAGATGTGTTAATTTTTTTTTTCCTTTTTAAAAAAAAAAGAATATGTAATCTTTTTGTTCTCTGATGGAAGATTCGTTCATATCTCAGCGTTGTGCCACGGCAGGATGCTTTTGCTGTATGCACAAATCCCCAGCCTCTGTGTTAGTCCATCATAGATCCATATGTTAGAGGCAGAGGAATGACTCTTGCACATGCAATGGATGACCCAGCATTGCGGTCAAAATGGAAGATTTTATAGAAAGAGGAGCTAAAAATGTCGAGCATCATTGAGTGAAATCTAGATTCTTTTTTTTTCTTTTTTTTTTATTTATTTATCCAAAAGGTTTAAGTTTGTTTTCAGATGATGGAAGCATAACCCCATGTGCACAAGGAAACAGTTTGAAAGGATCCAAGTAACAGAAATGTCGTGAGTGCATGAGTGAATGCGTGTGTGCGTGCGTGTGCGTGGATGTATATGTGTAAATATATATGTGTACATGTGGCAGGCACACACCAACAATGGACCTTTTTAAAAACCAATCTGTATGCTGAATTCTTGGGCAGAAGTCTGTGTCTAAACAAAACAAAACCCTCCTCCCCAATTTTTTTTTTTTCTTTTTGTATCTATGAAAACACAGAATGATAACGATGACGCTGACAATTTTACTAAATTTAAACTTAATTTGCTCTAGTATTTATTTATTTTTTTCAGATTTGAATTTGATGTCTGTTGCTAACAACATGGTGAAGGTGAGTTATAAAAATGCTAATGAAGGAGAGGGTCCACAAGCTTTCATTTGAGGATTAGAAATGTAGTGCCTTGCAAAAGTATTCACCCCCTTGATTTACTTCACATTTTGTCACATTGCAACAGCCAACTTTAAAATATATATATATTGTGACTTTATAAAATAGACCAATAGAGTAGCACATAATTGTAAAGAGGAAAGAAAATGATACCCAAATTTAAAATTATTATATGCATATTGTAATTTCATTGCATGGAGCGGGAAGTGGCTCAGGGTTTAGTCCCTGTACTTTGAGAAAAGTACAGAAAACTTGAGGAATAAAACCTGTAATTAGTTGCAAGACACTTGAGCCTGTCTCCCTGCGGAACAACTGCATTAAACATACAGCCAGAGCTGAAATATTCACAAGTTAGATTTTCTAATTCAAAACTGTATTGTTTTCGTTCCATTTCACAGTTATATGCTGCTTTTGTGTTGGTTTATCACACTAAATTTCTAAGAACTACATTCAGGTTTGAGGTCGCATCTAAGGAAATATGAAAAAAGTTAAAGGAGTATTTATAGTTTTGCAAGGCATGGTGAGAGGGTCCTTTTTGTTTCCATTTATTTTTATCTGGACAAAGACTTTAGAAAACTCCTTTACTGTTCACAATCCCGTCATTTCACCGTCGCCTTCACAACACCTCCATCATCCATGCCTCTCCTTTCCTCCTGCCCCGTCCCCCATCACATTCATACAGTGTCACTGTGATGTACTGCTAGCATGCTGGCCAGACAAGGACAGACCAACCGAACAAGAGATATCCTTTATGCACGCCTGTGCAGAAATTCTTAACTTTCATTGATGGCTTGAATGCGCCACATTCAGCAATTTTTTTGAGAAATATATTTGTATGACTTTGAATAAATGAACAGGCAATGAAATTATATAGTGTTAAAAGATTACTATATAAGACTGCAAAAAAAAAAAAAAAAAGATCAAGTTTCTCCAACTTTTTCGAATTTAAGTTTCAATTCTATGGTTGAAATGTTTTGGAGTTTGTTTTCCTCTTTTGTTTTCATTCTTCATTTCTTATCCCAAAGTTTGTAATCTCATAACAATAATTGTTCCAAAAAAAAAAAAAAAAAAAGAAAAAAAAAAAAAAAAAAGAGTTGCTCCAAAAGTTTTGCATTGGTGAAACGTAACATCAGGGCTCTCGCAATAGAAAAAAGATATCATATATGTTTGTTTTCCAAAAAAAAAGTATGTACATATATATTTCTATTCAAATATATAGCAAATATATGAATAAAGAGCAGAGACATATAAAAGCCGTTCTAATTGAAAATATATATTAAAAGATCACAAGACAATCGCTCCGAGTGAAGCATCACACTAAATGATAAGGAGACAGGAAGACGGGAGGTTTAAACGGGTAGCACAGCTGTGGATTAAAGACCTTGGAGAGAGAAAGTGGTGTGAAAGTTACTGGTGAAACTGGGACTTGAGAAATGAGACGTTGACTCCCGTGTGATTTTTGAAAAGGACAAGCGCAGGAAAGTGAAAATATAGTGCGAGACGTGTTGCTGGTTTATTGTGGTCTCAGATAGTGCAGGAAGTGTGGTGTCGCAAAAGAAAACGGTTAAAAGGAAAAGCTTATAAAGTGATTGAGCCTCTTGTGGTTTGTTGTATTGTACCTTCCAAATATTTGTGTTCACAGACTCAACGCCACTACCAAACTACAACTAATGAACACAAACAGATTGCATATTTCTCCAGGCCAGAGACAGATATTACTGCGGATAACTGTAAGAATTTTTTTTTTTTTTTTTTTTTTTTTTTTTTTATGTATGTATGTATTTTGGAGTTCGAGAATGGATATGTGTTGATTTCTATACATAGTGTTAAGATGCATTTACTTGCCTTGTCATTTTAAGTTATGCAAACACTTGTCCTGGGAAGAAGAATGAGTTTGGAAAAGGATTAAGCCTGTTTTTTCCCCATAAGGGCTTCCTTACTCCAACTACATGGATTTTGGTTGGATTGATGAAATAAACTTTTAACCAACATGCTTTCCCTCCAATTTTCAGTCAGTTTGCCTAAAGTGAATGTAATATGTTTCAAAGAAACTTCCACCCCATCTTAATTGCAAGCTGATATGGTGTGTGAATTAATAATTCTGTATTTAATAAAAATAACTTTTTCATCAGGCTCGCACAATTTTTGTAAATTTGAGATTTATTTTCAATTTGCTTTTTAATCACTTTAATTTGGGAGGTTCAATGATAAGGGTGCAATAAATGTATAAATCCCATTAATTTTAGGCTTTAGATGAATTATTTCAGGACGGACTGACAATAAATATGAAACTTCAATGTTTAAAAAAAAACAAACAATAGGTTCTGGATGAACATGTTTCCATTTATTGTGGCTTTTCTCCAATCTACACAACTCCTCTGTATGGTTTGGCTAAATCTCACCTGGTTAGCTGCATAGAAACCATATGCTGCTTGTCAACACCAAGACGACTTTTTATGGCTCTGGGTGGATGAAAGTGCCGTAATTTGAGTTTGATTTTCTGCCATTGGCCTTCCTGTAAGCAAAATACCTCAAGAAGGTAAAGTCACAGCAGCTCTTTGAGGTTAACGTTTGCCAAGCTGATCCTTCCAAACATTCGAATTTAGCCATGTTTCAAGCACAAACTGGAAAAGAGGTTACCTGCTCCATAAGTGACACCCTGAAATTAGGAGCCTGGATGGACGGGCCAAGTGGCCTCTGGAGAAAGTGGTCAGAAGAGGCAAACACTGAGCTACTTGACCACAGGAACAAGAACTATTTGTGCGCTGATGTTTGAAACTTGGACATAAAATAAACTTTCAAAAGAAAGAGATGTGAAATATCCACCCAGAATCACATCAGAACCTCGATGACGGCTTTGAAAACTTTAGGACGGTGTATGAAAATATTAGTAGTCTGATAGTACGTCTGAGTATGAATGGGTAATTTTGATCTTGTTCATGGAAACCCATTCACCCAGTTCAAAATGTTTCAATCATAGATGTGTTGTATAACAATTCAGCGTTTTTCAATTAAGTCCATAACTGCAGCTACACATAATGTATAACATAATGTGTAACTTATGTGGGGTGGATTTTTCTTTAAAATGATACAACATGCTTTCAAACTGACCTGCATACTGCCTTTATTTCACATTGGTTCCTTTCTACATCTGTCAACCAATCAGAACCTCTCCCCTCCCCTCCTCTGTAGCCTTTTGTCCACCTTTATACAATGATTTCTACACCACAGGAAAGGACTTGTGTACATATGAAGTGTTTTGTATAAATGACTACTATTTTCGACATCTTCACTAGCAACCGGGGCACAATGTAAACTCTGAAGAACAGGTGATGTGATGAAGATTCAATGAAAACTTAGAATTAAACAAATAACTGCTTTATCCTCATCCATGGACCAGATACAACATGTCAGAATGGACCATGCAATGTTAACTGATATTATTTGATTTTTATTGGGCATTTTGTTGCATAGTTTAAATTTTTATTTTTGCATTTATTTCTGTTTTTACTTAATCACAGCTTGTTTTTGTTTTTTTTTATCTAGAGGTCCTTTTTTGTCAATGAGCTTTTATGGGGGTGGGACAGCAGCGTTGCATGTTCTGAAATTTTCCTGGTTATAAAAGAGAAAAGGGGGACGAAGCGAATTGAACAGACATTAATAAAAAAATACGAATTTTAAGAATCCAGCAGTTGTTCTTTAAACTTTTATTGGGAAACATTGCTTCAGTTTGCAATTGCTTGTGTTTAACCCTACATTCGCTTTTCTATCAAAACAAACAAAAGCGGAGGAAAAAAAATCAAAAAGAGTACTTAAAACCTTGTGCAATAAAGCTATCTTTTTATAAACTGTGATGATGTTTATTTTTTCAGGTCTATTTAGTAGCAATGCTAAAATAACAGGGAGTTTATCGAGTGCTCCCCATACCTTGAATGTTTAGTCTGTTTTTTCCAGTAAAGTAAGCAAAAGCCGGAAATAGCAAGTTTGTGAAAACCATACTCATCGAGACAAAATGTAAAAAAAAGGTGTTTATAGTTGAATTTTTTTGTCAGGACAAGCTGTTAAATATATGAAACAAACTCCTGATCAAAGTCTTCAGAATAGAAAAATACATATATTTTGTGTGGCTGCAGTGTAACTGGCCCCAGGAATGTCTTAGTATAAGGCTGTACATTAGTGCACCTGTTAGCACTTTCACCTTGAAGTTGGGTGATCCTGCACTAAAATCCAAGCCCAGGCTCTTTCTGCATGTATTTTCTCTCCACAAGTTAAGTTTGTCTTTCCAGCCTACCTTTGAGTACCAGTAATAATGTGATTGTGAAATCCAACCATTTTAAGCCATTTGTCTCTACATTCGAAGATAAGTATAAAAGAGAAAAAAAAAGGAAACCATCAGAGAGAAACATCCAACAAAGTCTTAAAGACAATTTTATTTATATCCTGGATTTAAAATTCAACAAGGACGCATTGAAAGGAACATATGTTCATAGTTTTTGCCACGTTTTTAAAATAAGTCATAAAAATGACCGCATGCTCAAAAAAATACACACATTTTAACAACCCCCCCTGGCAGCAATGCACATGAAAACCATTCATTCAGACACACAAATTCACATCAATTGTCATCTTGAATTCTTAGTGACGCTACAACACTTGTCATAAAGGCTACTGCTTTATGTTACTGCTTGGATTCCTGTGATATATTTTCAGAACTAATTTCAGCATTAATGCAAATTTTGCTTATAGGCTGTTATGTTTAATCTGAGGTGAATCAACATGGCCCACCTGCTTCCTGTTGCCTTTGAAAGTAATTGCACCTGCAACACAGCAACCCTCACTGTTCATCTATTTGTCGTTCTTGTTTTTTTTCTGCTGGAACTTCCTGAAGTGGTTCTGGATGGTAGATGCTGCTTTTTCAACTTCGACAGGGCTAAGAGGAGGAACTGATGGTTTGCCACATGTGCCATTGCTGGTACAGGAGCCTGAGAATGAGAGGAAGCAAATAAAAATAACGATGAAATAAAAAATAAATTTATATATATATATATATATATATATATATATATATATATATATATATATATATATATATATATATATATGTATGTATTTTTTTGTAGTTCTGTGATTAATTATGTCATGAGATTTTTAAAATTATTATTTTCGATAAGTTTTAATCCACACAAAAAAAAAGTTGGACTTATCCAAAAATCCATTTTAAAGACACATCAATCACGGTAGGATAAACAGTCAGTGTCCTGAGACTTACTCTTTCTGTATACGCCTATGCTGTTCCTCCTGTAGCCGTCAAACTGCAAAAGCAAAGAAACTCTGTTACAATCTCATTCAAACTAAAACCCCCATCCGATCAACAGATAAAAACACACAAACTTATCTGGAAGCTGCAGTACACTTTGTTCACATTCCTTTGAAAACGGAACTGATCGTGCACATGGATAGATTATCGTGCTAGTTTTTGCAGAATCCGTTGATGCCGTACAAAACATGCTGCTTTTTTTTGGCATGTGTGACTTCACCCGTGTGCCCTTTTTTGATCCAGAGCTTGAATAATGACCTCAAACACAAATCCTCTTGATTGGGATTACAGCTCAAGTGGAGAACTGGCGGGGGAGCCAGAGTCAGAGAACTGTCCGATCTTAGCATGCTTACCCGCAAATTTGGCTAGGTGCCTGCATTCAGCTTGAAAACCGGTTTTGTGACACTAACAAAAGGTATGCACTCTGCTCTCACCCAGGTACAAGTGAACTGAAGCTGCGGCCAGATTTAGTCCATAATTATTTTTCTTACACTGTCAAGCAATCACAGAGGTACCTTTCAAATCAGGCCCCTAAAACTCCACCGAAGGTACAAGAGAGGTGCAAGGAATCACTTGGATTGTCAGTCAACATTTTTTGAAGCCAAAATGTCAAAAAAAGCAAACTGAGAGGTTATTATGTATGCATTTAATTGCTGTAGGTGTCCAGTTTATGCAAACATCCATGGACTTACAGGTAATGATTCATCAGAGTCTTGAAAGTAAATTTTTCTAAAGCCAAATATAATTGTATTTGAACAAGTACAATGTCAAAAAGTAAATGATTTAATTACATATTGAACTGGGAAACATATCTGGTGCTGCCAATGGTGCAAATCCCATCATAGTCAAATTTTTGTGATTTTATGAGGAGCTGCCATTATATGATGTTGAGCTCTGGCTGGCTGGTGAACTTTCCACATGGTTTATTTTAAAGTAACAGAGCACTGGACTGAGGAATTCATGAAAATGAAAACCCAGCCAAGCCAAATGAGGGGCAGTCGATGCAGTCATATGTACAAAATAGTGGACAAGACACTTTGAAGGAACCCAGACGACGGGATTTGGATACATGCATAGAAATACATTTGGTAACTGCAGGTAGTAAGATGGCATCAGCAATAATGAAGTCGCAGAGAGCTTGGTAAGACTAACCTCTTCTGCTTTGCTGCTCCTCCGGCTGTGAGACACAGAGTGAACCTGCCAGGGCAAAGGCTGAGAGACCATGTAAGGCAAAGGTTCGTCTTTCTGTGCAAATTGAGCCCCAATCTAAAAGCAAAAAAGGGGGGGGGGGATGGGGCTTGGGTTAGAAGTTACGTTTGAGTGTTTTCTTCCTCCTTTCGAAACACTCTGAAGTTTTGGAAGTGAATCTCTATCGCTTGGAGGACAATTTCCACTGAAAATTTCTAACAAATCACATACAGATTTTGATGTCAATTGAATAAGTCAGATTTAAACTGACGCAACTCACTGCAAGATATACAAATTTCCTTCAGCAAGTTGCATTGAAATTCAGTTCCATAAAGAAACTATTTGGAGACGAGAAAATATGGATTATGTATGCATTTAATTGCTGCAACTATTCTCAACACAGATCTTCAGCAGTCTATTAGTAAGTCATATGTTAATAAAATCAGCTTACCGATTCTACAACTTTCACCATCACATACATGGCCGTTAGCATTGTGATCAACATCTTGACCACTATTATTTGAGTCTTTAATATTCCTTAAGGTCTTGGCTTTGTGTTGCAGTCCTCAGTTCAGTCAACAGAAAGTTAAAAGTCCATGCAGAAATTAGTCTGCGCTATCAGGCATGCAATTCAGCAGAGGATTTCTCGGGGAAAGGCAACGTGAAGACAGTGTTGATTATGTCCGTTTGCAGACTTCTCTCAGGCTCATGAAACACACACGCCTCGCACTTCCAGCTCCAGACACATAAGGGTAAGACTGCTAAAGAGCTTTGTAGGACAGAAATAGAGAAGCCGTAATCTTTTCCTCTGCAGAGCACTTATCCCTCAGGTACAGCTTTCCAGTATTTGTGTCGCATACATTTTTATGTGGCATTTACGAATGCACATATCATACAATTTTCTTTGTGTTGCCTTTAGTTATAAAGCTTTACCCACTGATAATGCAAAGTACATGTGGAGATGTCTATGAAATGAGTGATGCAAACATTGTTACCTTCCTAAATGGACATTCTGAACTATCAGGAAAGTTATTGTCTATTTAATCTTGACCTTTCCTTGTGTGACATATTAATTCCCTCCATAAGTGTAAATGAGTGGGACAGATCCCAAGTTCCTGTAAATTCAGTTAATCTTGCATAATGTTCTCAAATATTTGCATTTAAAATGATAACAAGCCATTTATTTGGCTAAACCAAACCTGATGTATACCATGAATCCAAATTGCTATCCTCAATTCTAACTTATGATCATCTATCTTTTTAACACATGCAGCTCACCTAAAGAAAAAACAAACAATTTAAAAGCTGGGGTTTAAAGTTAACAAGGTTGTTACCCGTTAATGCCAAATTCAATGCATGAAACAGGAAGTGATTCAATTTCTTTTTCTTTTTTTTAACTTGTAATAATGACAACTAAGCAGTGAGCACATAAACAAGTTTATTATTCTGAAATAATAATAATAATAATAAAGTAACTGGCAGATGTCTGTCACTTCAAAAAATATCTTGGTTTAATGATGCTTTAAATGAACAAATGCTGAGACTGTGGAGTTTGTCTCACTCCTCCTGAGTAGGAGTCATTTGAAGCAAAGTGTTTAAGCTTTTAACACCGCTGTGTTAAAAGCTTATGACTGACGATGTTCAAGGCTGCAGTTTTATTGTTCACATTGGATGCAAACAGAGCCAGTACTTCAGCTTTGCTCTTAAGAGGCTGCAGTGGCTTCAGTTGGCCACAAGGAGCCACTGTTCTTACTTAGACCAGAGCGTCACAGCTTTGAAATATCTTTTTGGCTTGTTTAGAAAGAAAAGGCTTCATGCGGCTTCATCTGCCCATTTAATGTGGCCATTATTTCATAGCTTCAATAAACATTGAACAAGCTTTCATGAACAATTGAGTTCTCACTGTCTGGTTATGAAAACAAATCTAATTTCTAACTGGATAACATGCACATCTCAGGTGTGGTCTACATCTTGATTCCTGTTTAGCTGTAATGTTAAATATTAACAGAAGAGCTTGGATGTCTAATTCATTTAGCACCTTTTGTTGACACCATAGAAGAGATGTGTAATGTTATTGTGTCAATCAGCCCTTGGAACTTGGTAAAATTGATGTCCTCATTGATCATTTCCTCAAATAACCTTCACCTATTGGTCAAAATCTCCCCCTGAGATAAAGATTATTCATGAGAGACTGAGACTGAGTCGAGTTTCAAATGTAAGGAATAATAAAGACGAATTCACAGAGAGCGCAGTGACTTATAGTAGAGACGAAAGAGCAGTCGACATGTTTACTCTGGGATGTCTAGGCTGCAGAGCTGGATTTAATATTTCATATTTAAATGAGTGAACAATGGAGGTCTCAGAAAGATGGCAAAGTGATAGGAGAAGGTCAGATTTCCCTTAGGCTGCTCTCATCACTGTAGGCAATGTAGAGGAAAAGCTCCTCTTTGTGATGCTGCTGGTACAACGAGTTTCAAATGAAGTGGCAACTAAAGTGCCACTTCAGTCAGGACTCACATCTCAGTCTTTGGCATTCTCTTTCAACAAACTTAAATTTCAGCCGAGGCCTCTGAACTCTGTGAAAAATTGTCCGTCCAAATACAATTGGTACAATAGCAAAAAGGTTTCTTCTACAACGGGACAGATTGGTAGAGTTACAAAAAAAGGCTATACGTGAATAAAATTCTGCATCACCATGCTAACTCTTCCTCTTCTGTAATAAGAAACCTTCCTCTGAGAGATGACACATGTCCGAGGCTTTAGTGCGTCACTGACTGCAGCCTTGTCACTGACCCCTGAAGGGAAATGATAATCCTTTTGGAACTGAATGCTTTTCAGCAGCGCCCTGAAAGACTGCAATCCTGTGTTATTATCAAGATTAAGTGTCAAGCCTGTGATGTAAGGAATTTTTGCAAAAGCAAGCAGGCCATTTCCTTGCAGGTCCTGAATGTGTTCTGTCGGTATCTGTGGGTGTAAATAATGACCATTTGGTTCCAGTACGGCTAGAGAGGAGGAGTATTTTATCGCTGAACCGATGGCTATAAATTAACTTGTGACGGGACAACCAAATGTCTGGACTCTTTCCATGAAGCAGATGCACGGGAAGAAAAAGGGGGTAAGAATTCTCTGATTTAAATGTATGAATGCTTAAGAATGCAAAGCAAAACAATACACATATTTAAGTATATCTCAAAATAGCAGAATACTTTGTAAAAGTTTAATATTTTTAGTCTCTTATTTCAAAAGGTGAAAATCATGCATTATACAAATTCACATTCAGAGAGAATAAAGAGAAAGAAACAGCTGTGGTAGGAAAAAGTTAATCAGGAAATACAGGTAAAACTGCAGTCTAGAGAAGATTGTCAAGCAAAATCAAGAATTTGTTAGAACTTTACAAGGAGTGGATTGAAACTGGAGTTTGTGCAGCTTGTTGCTCAGTGATCCAAAACCCTCTTTTCAGCAAAGGTTGAGGTTTGAATTTTATTTTGACATCAAGATCTCACAGAGAGGAAGAAGCGTGAAGAGGTAAAGAGTATGCGTTGTGTAAAATGTTATGCAGTTATGAATTCAGGTGCCATGTCATCTGCTAGTGTTGATCAGTTTTCTGAAGGCAGCAGTCAACTCAGAAGATTTTTGAACACTTCCCGTGTTTTTTCATTTGACAAGCACAGCTTAGATGCTGATTTTATTTTCAGGACTTGACATTTGCCAACACTGCCAAAGGCAGCAAAAGCCGATTCAGGTTACTGGCTTGATTGGCAAGTAACCTGATCTGACCTGAACCTAAATCGATCAGTTTTTGTCAAGAGGTAGATGAGAAATGGCAGAAAAAAGGATGCACATTACCTGGAAGCCCGTATCAAAGCAACCTAGGCTTCCATTACACCTCAACAATGCTGCAGACGGATTGTTTCCATGCAGTAATTCATACAATAGCAGCCATGACTAAGAATATGTCTCACAGAAGTAAGCATAGATCCCAGCAGCTTGACAATTTTATTTAAAATAAATATTTTTGGTCAATTAAATCCAATGGCCTAAATTTCCGGCACACAGAATTTGCGGCTTTCCTTCTCTGTAATCAAAAATGACAAAAAAATAAATTAAATATGTACTCTAAGTGCAATAAATAGGAATGACTAACTTTTATGTTTTCTCCTGACCTCCTCACTAGATGTGTGCAATTTCAGAGGCCAAATAAAACCTGAAGAGCAGCAGCTCTTATCAACGCTTTGCTGAGTAACTGGTTTCATTGTTCGTCTCATAATCTTTATGTCTGGCTAAAAAAATGTCTTTGCATCAGCATGTCACACTTGCTTTGAAACAGATGAGATTGGATTGTAGAGAAGTAAAATATGAAGAAAGATGTGGTGTTAGAGGCAGATCAGGAAGATAAAAGTCCAGTAAAACAGGCCCTCTGCATTATCTCCATATCAAGTGAGCATTCCTTTGAGACAGCATGTTGAGTCACTTTTGCATATTTGCATATTTACTAAATAAAACAAAGCTTTTTACTGTCTTGTGGTTACTGTTGTATTTATTTTACTGACATTTAGATTTTTTTCTTTTTTCATAGGTTTCGAGCCAGTTTCCCAGACTCTAGCGGATGAGCCAGATGAGGGAGGAAAACCTCATTTAAGACAGAGTGAAGCTACCCAGAGGCATTCACAATGTCTTTCAAGCTCACCAAAAAACCAAGCAGTAAAAAGAAAAGTATGTTTATTGAACTTTCGTTTGCCCTGTATGTTGCAGTTAAGAAAATTAGGTGAAAAAAATACTGCATGCCCCAGATATTTGTACTTTTCAGTTAGCCATCAAATTGAGGTGATGAATCGGCCTTGTTGTAGTTTGTCTAAGTCTTATTGTGAAATAGACGACCAGCTGGGATGTCATGGGAAAGCTTGTCATCAAAATTGATTTTAATCATTGCCTAAAATATTTTAGCAACAATTATGAGGTTAAAAGTCATAAGTACACAAAGCAAAAGGTATTCCTTCATTTACTTAAGATACAACCAACAACAATGGCGTCTGAACTCCATCTCCATTTTATGCCGCAGCAATGCACTTGGCACTGTAATATTGTGCAACGTTGACCCACTAAAATAAACAAAGGTCACTTATTAGATGGGTGTAAAATTTAAACCATAACTACACTCCACTCTATAGTGCCTAGTTCAAGTGAGCAATATCAAAATACTTCCAAGAAACTGTGCTCTAAATCTCCTGAATAGTCGATCATTTCCCAGTGTTAAAATCCCCATTTCATGAATGTTTTTATTTTCAACATGCAAAATCCAATCATTCACCCAAACAGACCAATATCGCCTTTTTAACATTTAGCTAACATTTGGGGCACCTGTTTAAACAGAATTCAAATGTCTGAATGTGTCATCCTCCAGAAACATGCATGTTATCATATCTCTCTGTACCTTATTATACTCCATAAGGTACACGAGTTTAAAATGTAGGAATGTGTCTTTTTCAGTTTTACAATACTGGCAAGTGGGAAGCTTTGTATGGATGACACTTTTATAAACTGATGAAGGGAAAATGGATGATTAGTCACACAACTGTGTCTCTGCTTTCTTCAAATTTCAGCCTCAAGAGTAAACAGTGGGGTCAGTTATTTTAATTTCCTTTGCCACAAGAACGTTAGGGATGCTGTGTCATGGAATACTGTTCAGCCCATTAGGAACAGCAGACAAGTATTTACTGTAGGCTGACCATTTCCCTGTGCCTGAAA